CGATTATAACAACACCAACAAAACTGTATTTTTTTTTTTTTTTTTTTTTTTTTTTTTGCTAACCTGAATTCATAGTACTGTAAACGCGAGACTAGAAAATATTGTTCGTCCGAACGACATGTAGTATGCCAGTTTGTTCTGATTCTTGAATTTACACAATAGATGTGTCTTGACTGTTTAACAGGATAATGGGAAACTTTTATAACCGTTAAAAGTTTAAATGATGTGGACGTTAATGGGTTTGGCGCATTTTTTCCCCTTTAATAGTAAAAGTTGCGGAATAGGATAAACATTTATTTCGCAGCCTCAACAATACGTTGGTAAAATTGTTATGTTGCACATTATACGCGTTCGCGTATAGTAGTAACTATTTTACTTAAAGAGTATCAAATTCAGTGTATTTAGGTTTCCCTATCGAAATATTTAAAGTGGAACTGTTATATAGTATTACCTATATGAGAATGTCAGTATCTTTAAATCGGAATTTCTTACAGTTCATATAAAAATACAGTCGCTACCCTCCACTGAGGTGAAACTTCTTATCGGAGAGCAAGCGTACTTAATTTTGAAAAACCGATTTGTACGGTAAAGCCAAATAAAAAGTAAATAAATTAAATAAAGCAAAACAAAAATAATAAACGAATTCGAGATAATTTTCTCTTTGTGTAGTGTCGCAGAACTAATTTTTAATTTATTATACAATGTGAGAATGGAGTTAGTAAACTTTACAGATATAATCGGGGATTATTTGTAGAGACATTTGAAGGAAAGTCATTGTTGCTTTTTTGGTGTAAAAGAAATTTATTACAACGACGTCTATGTTTGAGAAATATTTAAAAAAATAATAATATTAAAAATAATAACTTTAATGGTTTATATAATTTGTTCAGTTTAAATCAACAATAAAAGAGCGATTTCTTGAATTGAGGACCTGAGCTCCTGTACTATTTTAGATTTTGAGTAGAGCGAAGAAGCTTATGGTTTTACAATGATATTTATTTATTTTTTTTTTGTATCTGTGAACAATTTTCTCCCAGAAATATTAAATATTGCTCCGATTTAAAATCATAGTAGTTTTTCTAAAAGGAAATTTGAAAGGGGAGGTTCTTAAGAAAAGCAATTTTTTTATGTTTCCAGGAGTTTTCCCGATAAATGGGAAAAATGTAAAATTAACGAGAAAATAGGTACAAATTAAACAAATAGTATTGAAAAAAAATATATAGTACCTATGTAATTATTTTACCACATTATGGCATATACATTGTTGACAAAGCAACTACACTATCAACTGAACTCCGCTCAGAATCGCTTTTTCGTAAGCAACGGTTTATCGTTGTTTACAGGTATACCTATACTAAATTTCCCCTTTACTACCTTCCCAAATTCTCACCTATAACAGTAGCTGCACCTGCGTACGAAATATTTCCGTTTTTTTCTTTTCTTTTTAGCGTCCCCTAGTAATTATTTTAACTGGGACGGGAAGGCCCGTATCTTTAAAAAAATAATGAAATCTTCAAAAAATATTTATTGCTCGTCGTTAAATGAAATTAATCGTATACCATATATATTTTTTTAGAATTTATCGTACAGTAATAAATTATTATCTTTTTCTTGTGCTGCACGTTTGAGAACTTGAATGATAAAATAAATAATAACTGATGCTCACGATTAACGATAGCTGAATGATAGCCGAGTGCTTCCAATTATTTGAAGTATAAAATTGTAACTATACTTAATTATGTAACCCTATTAATCAATAATCAATAATGACTGATAGTCTAAAAATTGTTGTATTTTATGATTTTTAATGAGGTGGATTGTAGATTTTATTTTTTAAATCGAAATTGAAGTTATAGTTAATCATCGCAAAGAACGCTACTTTTTTATATCTTATACAGTCCTCGCTTTTATATTTTCAAGTCAAGCACTGGCAAAGTTTATATTATTTTTTCTTTAATTTTTATTGTACATACCTAATACCGCGGTTACCGGTAATTTATATACTATTGGTTGATATTTAGATGCAATTTTGATATTTTGTTGCATTTTTTTAAGTCGTTTGTTGGTGTATCAATGTCCGCCCTTCAATTACCTTATAACAGATAAAGTCGAAAGGTTTTGCGCCGCGGCCGTTCAGTTCCGCTCTTTGGCGAAATTCGCTTTTGATTATTTCGTGATTGTAATCATAATATTTCTACTAAAGAGGAAATTATTTTCGTATTTTCTGCATGCAGCAACGAGTCAAAGCCGATTATATCCGCATCGTAGGAGTTAAATACTTGGGACTACCGCGTGTTAGAACAAAATCATAAATGCCCAAAATGTTGGCCAAAAAACGAATAAATCGAAATGTTATTATCGGACATACTAAATGGTCTAGTTTTGAAAAAAAGGCCAATAAGAATTAAAAAATTCGCTGAACCTATAAGCATTTTTCGTTCTCGTCTAACGTAGTTAAATTAATTTTAAAATTGGTTTTATTACAAATATTATCAAAATATGTTTTTATTTATTTTTGTTTCCAGAAAATGTTTGAGAAACGGAGCTGTCGGGTTATTGCAGCATCACTGAGCCTTTAGATTAAACTCGACTGTTTTCTTTTATCGCGTGAGAATATACGGACGATAAACAATTCTCGTGTCGAGTTTTTAACCTTTTTTACCTCACCGAAACAATTTTAATCGCAGATATCCCACACTCCGAAAAAAAAAAATCCCATTAAACATTTCGCGTTGGCTATTAAATAACTCGACAACAAATTATCGGTGAAAACCTCACGTTTCCTCTTTCGGCGAACTCACAAACTGAAAAAAAAAACAGACGGACAAACTTCACACCACTAGTGGGCCACTGCTGTAGATGAAAAGTTGAGAAAGTACAATATATTGAATAATTTAATTTATATATTTACACAACGATTAGTCATTGTTAACGAAAAACGATTCTGAGCGGAGCTCGGTCAATAGTATTGCTTTTTCAGCAATGTACGTTTTCACGACAAGAATTGTTTAAAAACATTAAAAAATTAAAATAATAAAACTTAATAATAATAAAAATAAATAAAAAGGTTTACCAATGACAACTTTATTTTTAGTGTTTTAATATTTTTTAATCTAAAAAACTAGCTTTTCTTGTTACCTCGAATATCAATGAGAATCTTAAAAATTAACCTTTTTATTTACAGTACCAAAATGTAACAAAAAATCTTTTGTTATATTAATATTGGAGCGGGATTGGAGCTAGGAGAAAAGTTGTTGACAGTACAACACAGAAAAATTAATACAAATCTTAGTAAAACCAATAGATCACTTGCTTCACTCAGAATCTTTAAAATAAAACTGATTCGTGGCTATAAATAATATTTCTAAGATTTGTCCCGAATATCTTCACATTCAGTACAAAAAACTTTGAAAAGGCGAAAAAACCCCGACATCTTCGACTATATATTATGTACATACTTGGATGGTTCTTATTAGATGATGGTGGATTATTTTATTTTACCCCCCAACTTTGTTCTAATAAAAAAATCGAGCTCTATTCGTGCTTCCTCTTGGACAATTTTTTCATTTTTCTGAAACAAGATAAATATTTCAAATTTAAAATACATTTTGTTTGTATTTATTCTGAATTTCGTTTATATCAGGCATAACAAATTGTTTTTTTTGCATGGAAATTATCAAGAAGATATTTTTTAAAGGGAACCAATAAAATAAAAAGTGTATCAGACATTCAATGCCACTTTTTTTCTGTTGATTGTTAATTTTTTGTCGATTTCCATAAATTCGATCAAAATATCCGGAAAATCTATAGTTTTTAAGGTGGCGCATATTTGAAAACGTTTGAACATTGGATGTGGGTCATTCTGTATCAACTATTATTACGGACAGTATTAAAATTATTTAATTAACAAAAAATAATTAAATAATTAATAATAATTATGTATTATTTTTATTAAAGTTTACAATAATCAAAATTATTTTGTTGTTGAGAAAATACTTTATAAGTGGATGAAAGGTCAATTACCGTAAAAAAAAAAACGAAGAGCAACGTCAAAACGTTTCTAGACGCTATAGTAAACGGACTGTAGCAAAACAATTTTAAAATAGAAAAGAAATATTATAAATATTTAATAAAATGTTTATTTTAATTTTTTCCATGCTCTTACAAAGTACATTCTTAATAACACAATAACGTTAAACATTTTGAATTAAATGCGTTAATAGGTTTCAATTATCTCATTAGTTAATTAATTATTGATTTTGTGTATACTAGAAGTTGTACACAAGAACAGTGTTCAATGTTCAAACGATATTCGAAGATGCACCGTGGTCGAAATATCAATGAAATTCGAGGAACCCGTAAAAAAAACGTACAATTAACCGAAAGTGGTATAGAACGCTACGTAAACTTTTTTTCAATTTTCCGCCGTCCCGTTATGAAGTATCTTGTCGATAATTCCCGTGCGAGGAACAACGTCAATTTCGTATACTTCGTACAAAACGAAATTCCGAACAAACGACAAGACCATTTGTGCGTTTGTCGAACGGGAAAATATCCACGCCGTTACAGGGAGACGAAAACAATCCACCTAGGACGGTCAGACTGTAGGAGCTGAAAGCCGGAAGACTAGAATTTTTTTGTTTTTCGGTCTCCCGGACGATAAGTCCGGGGGCGTCGAAAACGGAAAAAAAAACCCCCGCGCCGTGACGACGCACGGGAACGCGGTCCGGCACGAACGGAAAACCCGCCCGGCGGTCAGCCGCGGGAAAACGGACGGGACCCGTCTCCGGAACCCGTACGCCGCGGCGACGCGCGCGCGCGAAATTCTAAATTAGAAAACAACCGGACCGCGGGCGGAACGGGGATCGGGGACGGATAACCGCCGCGGCGACGACGGCGACGGGCCGGTCCGCCGCGCGTCGCGATCCCGCAAAGTCGCGCGCTCGCGTGTGTGTGTGTGTGTGTGCGCGCGAGCGCGCGCGCGTGTGTAAACTTAACGGGCGGCGGCGGCGGCGGCGTAGATACGGAGACGGATAGTCCGCATATTCATGGGTCACGGTGAAACCTAATCCAACATGGCCGACCGGGCGAACCGGCGGGCCGCGGCGTTCCCGCGAGCGCGTGTGCGAACCCCCGTACCGTATCCCGCGCCAGCGCGCGCGTGTGCGTACGCGTATACGTACGTACGTACGTACGTACGTGTGTATTATTATATTTATCTCCGCGTCTCTTCCGCGTCCTCCGCACCGTCCGGCCGACCGCACCACACGTCGTATTATTATTATTATTATTATTATTATTATTATAACGCGCTGGCGTTCGTTTCCCGTACGTTTTCCCCGGGGGGGGGGGGACGCGCGCGCGGCGTCGAGCGCTCGTGTGTACGTACGAACGAACGAACGAACCCGTTGATATAATTTAATTTCTTCTCTTCTTATTCTTATATTCTCGTTCTCCTCCGCCGCGCGCGCCCGTCCCGTCCGCTACTCCCGCGCGTATCGTTCCACTCTGCCGCGGTCAACCCCCGCACCCGCGCCGTCGTCGCCGTAACCCCTCCGCCCGACCGCCGAATACGTACACGCGTGATATCGTATAGGTACGTGTACACACACGCGCGCGCGCGCGCGCGTTTATATAATGTACGCCCTCTCCGCCGCCGCCGCCGATCTTATATATGTACGCCGCCGTATATATACTTACGCTCCCCGAGGCGGCGACGGCGGGTCCTCTCCGGGCCCGCGCGCGGCCCGCCGACGGGTAAATACGTGGATCGAATACCGTGTGTGACGGCGACGGGGCGCGTGCGCGAACTCCGCATAATAATAATACACAACAATGATAATAAAAAAAAAAAAAATGGAAAGAAAAAAAAAAATTGAAAAAAATAAACGTAAGGAAAAAAACAACGAACTGCGGCAGTGAGTATAATAATATATATACGTATCCTCTCCACGTCGTTCGCCTCCCCACACGTAGTACGAGGCTGCCGCGCCGTGCAGTGTGTGTGTGTGTGTGTTATATAATATTTATTATTATTTTTTTTTTTCTACTTTTTTTTTTTTGTTTTGTTTTTTACTCTCCGAATAGCGATAAACAAAAAAAAAAATACGTGAATAACCGCGCAGGTAGAGTTTTTTTCCGTGTGTCTGACGGACCAGACTCGACGAAGTGACGGGTGTTGGTCCGTCCTTACAACGTATCGTCGATCCCGCCGGGGGGGGNGGGGGGGGGGGGGGAAGAAGTCTTCGATAAAAGCGAATTGAGTTAATGGAATCGGGATAAGACAAAATTATATACTTACAAAAAAAAAAAAAAAAAATACAAATATTGTACTGGTATAATACTTGGTCGAATTATAACCGAAAGTCTTCGGATGGTCACGAATTTAGCCCCTTCCCTTACCCCCCCCCCTCGCACTTTATTCAATCCGTTCCAAACCAACGTCGATATCAATAATATATTATTCGCAATCGATTCGCTAAATATCGACGTTGGTTTTTGAGACGGATCGGACAAAGTGGTGGAGGGGCTAACTTTACGACCGTCATCTTCGCTTATACCCCGGAACAGGGCGCTTCGCATAATCCAACAGCGGATATGTAAATCGGAAATCGACATAAGTCATATCGCTTTCGACCGTTTCGCCGTTATCGCGGCGCGTCAATTGATATCGGTCCATCGTACGTACGCGTTCGGATTGTACACATAAAGGCCACTATGGATTTGAACTCTTGAAATCGTACAAATTTTTTTCGCAAAAACGTATACGACGCGTAAGATATTGGAAGGCGCGATCGCACGAGATGCGGCGTAGATGATGTATGTTTTTTAGCGTGCGAACATTTCTTCTCGCTTCACCGTAAACCAAAGCGAAAGACGCGGAATTCGGTTTTCTAAATACTTTCACGGTGTTCGTGAAAACAACTCTCAGCGAATCGTTCGCATCGTGTATCTCGAGAAACATGCGGACTTTTTCGCCGGGTCGTCGTACTTGATTCGACACGGCAATTGTCTAACAGATTCCCGGACAGTATAGTTAAAAAAATAAAAATAAAAATAACCTTCCCCCCCCCACCCGATAACGAATGACACGACGAGACGGTGTTTTCTTTTTATATGTTTTGTCGATTTCAGAGTTATCTCGGTGGCCGTAAAACTACCGCGTACCGACGCGATTTTGATGCGGGGGTGTTGTCTGAGGTGTCCTGCCCCCGTAAAAAAGGCCCGATGATCGGACGCGATTAGCGAAAATCGCCGACCCCTCGTCTATGCGGCTATACGCCCGCGCGTACAAAACGGCGCGTTCGGTTTTGTTTTTTTTTTTTTTTCTATTAATAATATCGAATTTCGTAAAATAATAATGTTGCAGATACGCGCGTACACATTCGACGGACACTAGTCGACGTGGGAATGAAAAAAGAAAAAACCATCAACCGTTCGATCGCGGCGCACTACCCACTCGACGAACGCAAATTATTGTAATTTATATGATTGCATTATGTTCACGTGTCGAGAAACACGAATATGTATTTGTGTATTTATAATAATACGACGACGGCGTTATAGAGTTTTATTCCTTTTTTTTTTTTTTTTTTTTTCCTCGGTCGTCGTCGAGTGGTGCCGAAACCGTATTATTATTATTATTATTATTATTGCTGTAATTGTGTTTTCCTCCGAAAGTGTTCTGGAATATTTCCCGCGCGTTACAATTGTCATTTTTGTAACAACGCACCGACCGTCGCGAAAACTCGCCGCGGAACGATTTTACGCTGCGGTCCTCGTAACGGAATCGGCCGGCACACATCGCCCACCGATGTTCCCGATACGAAAGTAGTTGCCGTCGTTATTGGGACACTGAAATTTACGGGATACACGTCACGATGCACAACTGTTATCGTTTCACGGAGATTTCCCCCGTTTAACGCGTGTCCCGTCATAACGGAGGACGCCCTGTAAACTGCGCGTACGAACAGAATCGTATTCGATTTGACGGTTTCGCTGTCGCGTTTCGATCGTTTTCGCAGTAGTGGCCATTCGCCACTACCCACGCCCCACTAATTGCTTGAGTACACAACAGCCGTTACGGCTGAGTGTTGGGCGTGTTTGTTTTTGTTTTTTTTTTTTCGTCTTGTAATGTGCACGTACTACGTTTCGGCTATACAAGTTACAACGGCAATAGGCTTATATGGTTTATGGAACACGAACCGAAGAAAAAAGATCCTACGCGATTGACATTCGCCGAGCTAACGCGTCACCGCCAGACGACGATCTTAGAGTCTGAGAAGAGCGAGGGATGTATTGGTTTTACAATGGTGTTTAGTTTTTTTTTTTTTTTTTTTTTATCCGCGAACAATTTTTTTTTACCAGCTCTGGTTTTGGCTCCGATTTTCCGAAAAGAAATCTGAGGTGATTCTTTTGAATTTCCCAGCTATTTTCATAATAACTGGGAAAAACATAGGAAAACAAAGGAAAACGAGAACATGTACGAAATGTTGGTATTAGTAAGAAAAATATTATTAAAAAAAAATGTTTAATGCATAATATGTAATTATATTACCGAAATAAGTCATACCATATTATTGACAAAGCAACACAGTTAACCGGACTCCGATCTGAATCGTTTTTCGTTAGCAATATGGTTAATCGTTGCGTTCAGATAATACGTTCAATTTCTCCTCTACTTTTCGAACTTCTCACCTACAATAGTGGCCCGCCCACGTGCAAAGTATGTCCGTATTTTTTCTCTCGGCGCGTTGACCGGGCATTTGTTCGTTTTAAAAGACTCGCGGCAGGAGAAGTCGGATATTAATCCGTTTTCGAAAGTCGTTCAGCAGAGCAAAACAGCTGCGTGGACCGCGTCGTTTTTCCTTTTTAACCGGCGCGTTTCCGATATTATGGTATTATATTTGGGCCGTCGATGTTATTCAAATCATCTATGCTTTCGCCGGACGGGCCCCGACAATCACCCCGAAAACCCCATCGAATAGTACTGTTGTCGGGAAATAAAAAACCGAAAAAATTGGCGAACTACTCTTCTTCCGGAGATGCATAAAAGTACTGACGACTGTAGACGACTCAATTATACTTCAATAGTGTTGTGTAGCGACGTCTGGGCCGCGTCGCGATTTCGCCATAACAATCGCGGTCTAGTTCTGAAAAAAAGAAAAATAAAACACTAATTTTAATAATATTATAAATCTCGCGTTCAAAACTATACGGCGAGAAACACTGGCCTAACGAGTAATTTAAAATGGGGGAAGGGGGTTCTGAAATCTCGTATTTACGGTAAAAAATGTACTTAAAAGTGTCGAAATGTATAAATAAATATATATACATATTGTTTCAAATTTAAATTTAATAACAATACTACAAGAACCACATAATATATTGAAAATAATATTAAATAGCCGAGAACAAAAAAACGACGCCGGTGGGGGGAGGGCTATTGCCCCCTCATTGCCCCCGTCAATTATTATTGACGAAACCCCTCCCGCAAAAAAAAAAAAACAAAAAAATGGACTACTGGACTCGGGACCCGCGCCGCCGTTTAGTTTACATTTCATTCGGAAGCCGTTTCACGCTGTGACCGCGTATTTACAACGTGTGTTTCCCGACTCTTAGACGACCCCCCCGGAAAAATGTTGTTTAACTCGTGGGTCGCAGGTGACATGCTAGTCGCGTTTTAATGTTATTATTATTATTATTATTTTTTTTTTTCGGCATTATTTGCTTTGCGGTTCGAGTGCTCGCTGTTATAATATCGCACGCGCAGTTATTGTAAATGCGAAGGTTACATATTTTATAAGGCGTTACCAGCGCGTTTTGATTTTCGTCCGAACAGAGAGAATGAGCGAGACGGAATGATTGAACCCGTTCCGAGAATTCATGTTTCGTACTCGATTCTAATACTCGTGCCGGCGTGGAGGGGCGGGCACTTTTTGACCCTTACAATCGTCTAACAGGCCTTTGGATTTATTGACGTAGGTATGTTATGACGCGTACGCACACCGCGTAGGTAGGCAGGCGAGTATTGTTCGCAAGGACAACACACCCTGTACACGGACGCGTGTACATCATCGACGTGCGCGCTCGCCGGAAATCGGTTTTAAGTATTTATCGGACGGCGGCCGAGAGCTCGTTGTTTTGTTTTGTTTTTTTTTCTTTTCTTATAAACAATACGTTGCGCGGTCGATGGTCGTCCGCGGACCTTTTCCTGTGGGGGGAACGGGGGCAAAGGTGATTCGCAAAAAAAAATAATAAATATATTATAGACTCGGAAGTTATGCAGGAGCTAAAAATGGCGAAAAATGCGCGAACAAACGGTAAAACGCGCGTGAATAAACGCGACGAATATGCGAAAAATGATTCAAAGTCTGTTATTCGAAAGCGTAATACAGTGTCGTCAATAGTGCGCGCGGAAAAGACAGAGATTCAGTGCGAATCGCGTCGTTGTCGCTGTTAAACTGATAGACGGACAGAGCCGACGGGAAACAACGGTAAATGCAACTTAAATAATTTTTGCGTTTGATATTCAATATTATAGATAAAACGCATCGCGGTTAAGACAGAAAGAAAGAAGGGGAAAAAAAAAATCCGATTTTTTCCGGCAAATATTGCACGCGACAATCGACGCAAATCGATGGACCGCGCGGTGTTTCCGTAGAACTAACGACGGAACGAACGCGCGAAACACGAGTTACGCGTTTTGAAAACGTTCGACTTTACGGACGCTCCGCGGTTAATGGACGCAAATAGCCGTGGCTCGGCCGGCCGTGAACGCGGACGCGGCTCCCGCGACACCCCCCCGCGCGGGCCACGCAGTCGTCACAGTGATATTATCGTTTTCCGTCGTAACGCGCGGTTCCTGCCGAACACCGCGGTGCTTTTTTTTTTTTCCACGGACGCCGTACGCCGCGGTCCGAATCCGCGAGCAACGCGCCGCGACTGCCCGGCGCACTCTCGCCGGTCGTCGGCCGCGGCCGCGTTTCGACGCGCGTTCGGCGTGACCGGAAGAACGTTGCCNTCTATTATTCGAAAGCGTGATACAGTGCCGTCAATAGTGCGCGCGGAAAAGACAGAGATTCAGTGCGAATCGCGTCGTTGTCGTTGTTAAACTGATAGACGGACCGAGCCGACGGGAAACAACGGTAAATGCAACTTAAATAATTTTCGCGTTTGATATTCAATATTATAGATAAAACGCATCGCGGTTAAGACAGAAAGAAAGAAGGAAAAAAAAAAATCCGATTTTTTCCGGCGAACATTGCACGCGACAATCGGCGCACTCTCGCCGGTCGTCGGCCGCGGCCGCGTTTCGACGCGCGTTCGGCGTGACCGGAAGAACGTTGCCGCCGTGCAACTTGTAGCCAGGAAGGCGCGTAAACAATTTCCCGGAGCAACGGCTGCGCACGCGGGAACGCGGGTACGGTCCGGCGACACGGCGCGTTCGCGACGTTTACGACGCGCGGTGTCGTTACGACGGATCGGTGGAATCGACGGCCCGACGGCGCTTGTTACGCCCGGAAACCGTGCCGACTCCGACTGTTCCGGCCCCGTAGATTGTTGGAGACATTTTATAGAAAACGCACGTGATTTTTCAACGCTCTCGGAAAACTGCCGTAATTTTACGCGACGGACGGTATTAAAACGCGTGGCCAATAAATACGGTATTATAAAAGGGGAAAACAGAATATCACCACATTTTTTTTTGTTCAACACAATGCAGCGATTATCGCAAAACTGAAAGGTCAAAAATCGATTTTCACCAGCAACGTCGTGAGGGCATAACACTTTTGAAAATATCTTAAATGTACTATCGGTTACTAATAACCGATTCTGAATGCATTACACGCGTAATGTTTGCAGAAAAATGCGCGATCGCTGCTAAGGGAAATAAAAAGCATTTGTGCTGGACGGAAACGATTAAATCTGGATAATATTAAAATGTCTGTGAATGGCCAGAAAATGTACCGTTTCTATCAAAATATTCTGTAAAAATTTCACGTCTGCACGGCTATTATTGTTAACCGAATTACAACGAAAAAACAATAAAATCTTGTTCCCCGTAAATTTTCGCGTTTTACAAGTCCAATACACCGACAAGACGAAACTTTCTCCCAGAAAAACTGTGGAAAATCTACGTAAGGTTTCTGATGGAAAATTCGTTCTCGGTCGCGCGGAAAGTATAGGACTATCACTAATATTTTCTTGATACTCGCAAATCGCAATGACGCGGTCGGCGGGTGTTGACGCAGGGGAAATAAACCTGTAATTGACGATTAACCATTGCTAACGGAAAACGATTCTAAGCGAAGTCCGGTTAGCCGTAATGATAGTGCTCCGTAAATTTTCCCGTTGTTCCTAGGTTTTTTGTCCGGGTATTCCCGTTTGTTAGGAAAATCCTTAGGAATGTCGAAAACCGATCTCCTTAAAGTACCACCTCAATGAGATTTCCTTTCAGGAAAATCGGTACACTTGAAAGTCCGAGCGAAATTCCTGGTAGAAAAATTGTTTACAGAGAAAGAAAAAAAAAAACAGAGAATTTACGTGGTCGTAAAACCAATACGTTCCCTCGCTCCGCACATAATCTAACGGAAAAAAACCGTGACGGGCTAGACGCGTGCAACGGGAACCGGGGAATAGACCGCGGCCGGGTAAATCCAGAACGGAGCGTGAAGACGCGGTCCACGATGTGGGAGACGCGCTTTAGGGGGCGGAACCCCGCTAGGATAATCGGTTGCGCGCGTACGGAAACCGACCAGAAAGGACGATGGTTAGAGTACGGATTTTGAAACGGTCAACGCCTAAAAAAAAAAAAAACAATAAAAAAGCATTTAAAATAAAGCGATAAAGTTCCGAAAAAAAAAAAAAAAATCATTAAATTGAAAATCGTTGTAATCGGTTTATCGCCGTTTCAATAGAAAACTAATCCGTTACGCAGGTACGGCACGTGATGAACTGACGAACGACGAGGGGTCATGCCCGCATTTAGAACGTGCAATTGTCCACGGCACGCGTTTTACACGATATGAACACAAATACACTACGTTTATTTCGAACAGGTTTTCGAAAAAAAAAAAGTTACGGGAGCGTTACGGCAACGGAGAGCGCCCGAAAACCTCGAAAACGCGTTGAAATACTAGAAAAAAAAAGAAAAAAAAAATCATCGAAATGATAATACGATTTCGCGAGTGTGCATTTGGGCGCGGTACAAAATCAAATGTACAGCCGACACAGCTCCGTTTCGGGGCCAACGGGAAACGAGAGCGAACCGCCTACGAAACCCGCGCTCGGATTGTATACATGAATGACCGGGCCGGGGAGAAAGCCCCCGAAATCGATTTTACCGGAAATCGCGGACGTCGGACCGCGGTTAAAAAAAAAAAAAAACCGGAGGGCGGAAAACGGTTTACACCCGGAATGCCGAAGTGCGTACGATACATACGATACGCAAAAGCCGCGGTCCCCGTCCGGCGGAACCGTCGCAGGGATATTTGCTTCGGGGACCGCGTGAGTCTACGACCGGCGTGCGGGAGGGGATGGGGTGAAGTGAATAATAATGAAAAACGAAAAACTCGGTTAATTCGCCGTATCTCTCGTTCGTTCGTTCGTTCGTTTTTTTTTTTTTTTTTTTTTCCGCAATTTGCGTACAAGAGAAAATTCAGCGCACGCGATNTCTCTCGTTCGTTCGTTCGTTCGTTTTTTTTTTTTTTTATTTTCCGCAATTTGCGTACAAGAGAAAATTCAGCGCACGCGATTCTTTGCCGCCAGCGGACCGTGCGATTTTTCGTTTCGCCGAACACCGTCCCGGGTCCCCCACGGTCCTCCTGCCGTCACCCCCCACCCCCCCATCAATCCGTTTCCGGACGTCCGACAGCCCGCGAATCGTAAGAAATATTTAGCGTTTTTTTTTTTTTTCTACGCTTTTCTCCGATAATTCGCATTATTTTTTTTATTTTTTTTCCTTCTCTTTTCGGTTCTCGAGAATGAGAACGCGGAGTAAAAGAGGACCGCCGCTTGTCCGTCCGTACGTTATTATAATAATGGGGTCGTCTTCCGGTTTCGCGGCGATACGGGCGCGGTTTAATTATTAAACCCGCCGCCGCTGTGTACGGCCGGGCGCGGCGACGGCGACGGGCGGGGAAAAACCCGAAGAAAATCTACGCCGGCTCTACCGTACCGCTGTGTACGGCATACGCGTATTGTGTTTCGGCCGAATGGGTGAGATTCGTGCGGCGAGGGGCGAATTGTCGAGTCCCTCCGCGCGCGTATATGTATATATATATATATACATACACGCGCACGGGGTATTCTTCGCCTTTCCGTTTTCCATTCCGTTTCGTTTATTCGCACCGCGCCCGGATGCGTACCGCCGCCGGGTACGCGGTCTCCGGTTGGCGGCGCCACTTGCCGGCACGCGCCCGTTTCGCGAAAAACCGTTTAAAATAGAAAAAAAAAAAAATCAAAATCGAAATTATCGCCGGAATCGTAAAATTAAAAACATCGAAAACGAACCGACTACGCTCTTGTATACAGTAACGCGAGAACGATTTTTTTTCGCGGGGGCGGTGGGTGGGGGGAATGTTTGTGTTATAATAATTTCCCAGAGAGGGCACTCTCATAGCGTAATCAAATAAAAATCATCAATTTATTACCATGCGCCCGATTCGGGGCCTGGAAAAGCGCGTCCGCCGAATTTATTACAAACGCGCGTACCGAGTTTTCTCGCGTTCGTATATCAGTTTCGATTGCGGAAAAACCGGAAAAGCCGACTGCCGGCAAACAATCCGCTCAATATCGTCTCGCTCCGACCGACACACGCGCGCGTTTGATAGTTTTAGTAAAAAAAAAAAAAATTTTCAGACTTTTACTCGCTTATCGCTCATACGCGGAAATCGGATGCGTTTTCGGGCTCGTTAAATTTTAAAACGCTCTAGCCGCGGTAAAAAACAAAAAAAAAAAGTCCTTTTTTCAATTGTCGCGCCGCCACGAACCGGACGGGCGACAATATTCCCCCGTTCCGGTTTGCCGTTCGCCCCGCGGGAGCGAGTTGTCGACCGGGCGCGCGGCGACTCGTGCCCGAGCGGCGTGTCGGCCGGCCGGTTCTCGTCCCGGCGAACACGAGAACCGCAGTGCCGCGCGGTTCGTAAAACGTTACGGAAAACGGAGCCAATGACATCCGACGGATCGCCCGGCGCAACCCGTCCGTCCGGCCGTCGCGCGTTCGCGGGCCCGGGCGAAATCGCCGCGGCCGTCCGTCGCGCGGCGCGTGCACAACCGTATCGCGTTCGCCCCGAAAATGCGACCGCGCAATAACAACGCGGGCCGCGTTCGACTCGACCGCGTTGTCGCGCCGGACGCTCGCCGATAATCAACCGGCCCGCGTTTTGGAGACGCGTACGCGCCCGGCACGGCGTCGCCGGCGTTCGCGTTAACGGGCGACGGCGGGTGAGGGCGTTCCGTCGGGAACGGTATCGCCGTGCGGAACAACCGACGAGTACGGAATTCGCACGTGGAAACTGGTTGGACCGGGGCGCGCGCGCAGGGTCGACGGCGGCGCGGAGCTCGCGAAAGGCGGGCCGGCGAACCGTGCGCCGGGCCGAAATATCGCGTTTCGCTCGCAGACGTATCGCGAGAAACGTACCGAAACGTGTTGTCCGAAAAACGAAAACCGAAATCAACCGTAATCGTTTTGTGTTCGCGTGTCGACCGGGCGAAACTATCCCGAAACCGAAACCCTCACGGCGCATAACGCGCCCGGCCGGACGGCGGTCGCGGCGGCGCGGGACGCCGGGACGGACGGGACCGGTGAACGGCGAGAGACGACCGCCCGCATGCCCGTAATGTTCCCGTGGCACTTTGCGGCGCGAACAAAACGGGAACGAAAGTTTTCCGTCGGCGGGGCCGGGCCGGCAGTGGGGGGGGGGTGGTGGGAGAGACGAAATTAAGATTGTTTCCGATCGTTATAATAATATTTTATTCGGTACGGTCGGCCCCGGGGTAGGGGGGGTGCTGGCGTGCCGGTATACCGAGGGGTTCTCGCGGCTCGCGCGTTACAACAGCGGCCATATACGCATGGTTCCCGGGCCCCGTGGCGGTTTTCCGTTGTTATTGCGTTGTTTTCCCGAATCGAAACGCGCGTTTTCGACGGTCGCGGTGAAAGCGAAAAACGAAAAACGCCCCGCCCGAAACGCCATGAAATACCCCGTCGTCGATGACGCGTTTTGGGCGAAAACGAGAGACGTTTTGAACAATGGCAAATGAACAAATAAATTACAGGTTTCCAAGTACGGTTTTACGGACGAAACGCGTACGAAACACCGACACGAATTAACGCGTAACGAAAACAAAGAACAAAAGAAAAAATCACGAAAAGTTGACGATTTTACCGAAACCAAAAGTCGTAAACGGATCGGATCGCGAATTCTCACGCGGCGAGTGTATGCGCGGGACTACGAAAGGAAAGTTTTGGAGAAAAAAAAACCAAATTTACGACTCGTATCCACTATGATAGTTATTTATAGATCCGCACCGGAATCGCATGCGTGTTTTAATTTTATCGTTTCCCGCGGTTTCTTTCGGTTTTCGTCGTGAAACAACGCGCGATGCGTTCGCGCCCGTGACGCGGCGACCGCGACCCTCCCGTAGACGCACGCACACGAGTAAAATACACGAATAATATATTATAACCATTGTGTGTGTGCGTGTGGGTGCGCGCGCTCGCCGAGGGAGTTACCGGGGGGGGGGGGTGGTTTTTCTTTTTTTCTTTTTTTTTTGTTTGCGCGCGGGGGAGCGGTTTACGGGCGGTGGCGACGGCGGCGGATTGTAATTATTATTCACGTTGCGCGCGCGGCCCGCGAAAGAAGAACGGGGAATAAAGAACAGTAGACGACGGAAGGGAAAAAACTACGGCCGTGAGGGACGGCGACGACGAAGACGGTGCGAAGGGGTTGCGCGCGAGTTTCGTAATAATAATTGTCGTCGTTGGGCGCGCGTCGTACGAGCCGCGGCGGTATAGCGGGAGCGGGACGGCGAACGTCGCGGGCGAGAGAGGGTTCGAGTGAGGGCGAGCGCGAGAAAGAAAGAGAGAGAGAGAGAGAGAGAGAGAGAGAGAGACAATACGACGCGCGATAACGAAAATACCGGCGAATAATTGACGGCGGCACACGCCCCCCGTGCCGCCGTCGCACTTGCGCTTTTCGTCAGCTCGGCCCAGTGCGCGGCGCGCCCGCGTACACGCTACGTACGCGCGCGCGACACGTCCCGCGTCGTCGTAACCGCGGCAGGTATCCGTGTACGTTACGCGCCGCACATACCGGCCGGAGACACGTTCGGGTCCGTCGCGCGCGGAGCTCCGTTCGCCGTGCGCGAGTCGCCGAGGACGGATCGTCATTGCGGGCCGCAATCGTCGCCCGTAGGGTGGGGGGAGGAGGATGGGGGGGGGATCGGCCGGCGGGGCGTCGGATTATTTGTCCAGAACTACACCGCGTATGAGGGCATAGGCATTTGTTTAACCGCGCGCGTCCCCTTAATACGTTCAAAATCGATAAAATATAATCGGGCCGCGGTCCGATATTGTGTACAGAGCGGTTTGATTTTTTTTTTTTATTATTATTTTTTTATCCGCGAACGATTGTCCTGCCGAAAATTCCATTCCGATTTTCGAGCGTAGCACTTTTCCTGAGAGAAAATCGGTACGTTAAGGCGGTCATTTTTTCGGTTTTCCGGGGGGGTGGGGGGTTTCACAGTAAATGGAAAAAACCGGGAATAAACGTAGGAAAACGGAAAATTATTGTCAATCCGTGAATATTACGGCCTTTCTATACACGCGCAATCGAATTCCGCTCAGAATCGTTTTGCGTTTCTCATTTTAAACACGGATTCGAATAGAGAGAATTTTTCCAGAAATTCGGTTACGCATGACGCTGATATCGGATTTACCGTTTATGAATATTATAACCGTTTAAAGTTTAGGTCGGAGTGGTATTGGGTAAGGGTAATCAATTTATCGTTTGAAAATAGATACGCAATTTATTATCCTTCCCTACTCTTCCGGTCGCAACTTTAAACGGTTATGGCTCGTAAACGATAAATCCAATACCGGTGTTGTGCACAAAATGTGCTCAAAATGGCTAGACAAATATTTTCTATTTAAATCCATGTTCAAAACGGCGGTTTCTGTTTGAAAAACAAAATTGTATAATTATATTTTTATACGGTAATGAACGGAATGTTTTAATCGGCTGTCCTCGGAGTGCGAATTCGCTCTCTTTCACGCACTGGGCTTAATAATATCAACGTGTCTCTCTAGATCCGTTCGACCACGTCTCCCACGCAGCCCTCGGGGTTCCGTCTAGATATTGTATAAGTTAATGAACATAAATATAAACTCAAAATTAAGCTCCATGAAATGTATAGCTATAATGGAATTTGGAATTCTAGAACTTGTCCGATATTATGCTACGCAAAAGGATGATGAGGAAAACGAAAGGGAACTAAGGAGCAGTTTTAATGTAAAGGAACTCTAAAATTAATATTAAATAGTAGGAAAGGAGAATCAATTTAATTGGATATGAGTTTGGAAAGCAGGCATAGGTTAGATTTATAAGTCTATAATTATACAGGAGGGGAGCGCAACTAACCATTAACAAATAATTCATTCGAACCGAACGCATTCGCTTTAATCAATCGCATTATATTGCATTTATAATAATAATAATGCGCAGAGCGAAGCCGATGCAAAAAAAAATAATAATAAAAAAATACTTATACTGCCGGGCGGCGTATCTGACGAACGCTTAGATATTATACGACCGCTTCGCCGTTGTTTACGGTCGAATATAAAAGGATAAGGACACTGAGGCGAAAAATCTAAGTGCCGCTAACAATAAAACCTCGGGGAGGTTAGGATTACTAAACGTTCGTGATTTTACTATTGGACTGCAAAAAAAGAAAAAAAGAATCGAATAATTTCCAATCGGATATACGAGTATATTATTATAGTGATTTGTGAGAATAATCTCGGGTTACCACGATTAGTGTAACAAAATTTTTTTTTTTTTTTTTAATTATTGTAATTACATAACCATTCCGTTTAAAACAAAAATAGTTTTAAATAAGTTGTTAATTTTATTTAAAATACGATTTTTAAGAAGTAAAAATACTGCAGTTCGTTCGCAAATAATACCTACTGAATTATAAAACGAATATAAGGACCGTTAGGTAGGTCGGATAAATAATAAAGTCAATTTTGTTACAAAAATATCATGCGTGTTTTCTTGTTTTTTGTTTTTTTTTTTAATTTAAACAACTGTAAAATAATGGTAATTATGTATGTACATCTGAAAATAGATATCAAGGAAATAGTAGAAATAGTTACTAATTATGTATTTACATTGCATTTTTTATAATTCTATAATTTTCTCGACGACTGTATTATATTTTTCACAAATTATCTGTTTATGTCTAACGTAGACGTGCAATTTTCAGACTTGTAAGTATTTTCATTAATTACCGTTTTAATTATTGGTTGATGGTTGGCAATAATTTATCTGGAATTAGAGCTCGTTGTTTTATGAGCTATGGTCGCCAACGAGTATACCACACGGTATGATTTGTTGGTATTTGCAACGTTGCGACGGCGCTTAACCATTTGTCCTTTGTTTCAGCCTTTAACTATAAATTTTGAATGGGGAAAAAAATAATAATTTCCGAATATTCTCCATTTTTTGAGAAGATTCTCGCAATTACCGATTATACCGATTATCACCGTAATTTAAGAACACTACATAATATAATATAATATGTTAACGAACAGTGTAGTTAAGATATACATATTCTTTATTCGAGATACATAGGTATCGGGCATAGGTTTGTATAAACGGTGTTTCGGGCTATCCCGATTAATTTGGATTTCCGCACTTGCGCTAAATAACCGGCAAACAGTCGTATATTATCATTCGCGTACAACACATTTTCAAAAGTTTTCGATAATTATGACGAACTATATAATTATTATATTACTATCATAATTTTCGACCCTAAAAAGTGTCATCTCACAACGGCTGAACCATCAGTTTCCTTTATCTCTGGATCTGCCACTGCACCGGAATTTTGTTTTTTTTACCGAACACGTTCGACCGGAAATAATTTATCGCGGTACACAGATACCCGTCGCGCTATCTCGTGAAATTATTATGACCGCTCGCTAAAGCTGATCGTTTCCTGCGGTATCCCCAGAGTTTGATTTTTTTACGACTTACGACTTAAAAAAAAAAAAAAAAAAAAAAACACGCCCAACTGAAAAATGTTTTTTTTTTTTTTAAGTGTTCTAAAAACAATGTTATATGATCGAATATGACACGCGTAAATCTACGAAAAACTAAAAACCTTGGAAAATGTATTAGAGATCAAATAATATTATGGCAGATGATTGCAGTCATCATAATTATTTAGTGTCACCTAAAAAAAAAACGAAATTAAGAGGCCGGCTTTTTCTAGCAAACAGTATCTAACAAAACAACAATCGAAAAGACCTCTAAAATCAGTTTTAGAGAAAAAAGACCAAAAATTATTATACAACTTGTAGATGATAACTTTTTCAAAACAATCTGACCGACTATGTTCACCTTTGATAATAAATTAATTATACTCAGAGAAATTATGTAAAATATCAATAAGGCCGTCATCTATAGATACAAATGTTCTAACATGGGTGTGTTTTATATTTAAAATGAATTCACAAAAGCCTTCCGATTAATTTTACGTGAACACATTTTTTCTATATGCCCTGTTAGAAAGTTGCTGCATACACGACAAACGAAGGCATAAATTTCCATAGCATTCTGCTAGATTTAATGCCAAGTAAAAAAACCAAAAAAAAAATAATAAAAATAAACCAATAATAAACAAGCAAATTTCCGAACCCCGTACAAAAAAGGAATAGATCGCCTTAAATGTCTACGTGCGCCGCGATGAATTTTATTGCAAACTCGTTTTTAAAATTGAAATTCGTCCTGTTAATATACGAGTTTTAGATTTACCGTTCGAATTATTATAATATTATTAGGTACGTAATCCATCACGCGTGAAAAATTTATTATAATTTTACCGTGTATATACACATATATATATATAGTTTCGAGCGTTGCATTTTATTAGAATAAAATCTTTTTCCATTTATGAGCCGTAGGTCGTTCGGTTGTTAAGAGAAAAAAAAAAATCTTCGTACCTACCGTATATTTATATATATGTATGTATATCGAACGTTTTTCTGAGCACATATGGGAAAAATAATTGCGAATTTCCGTAGTTTGATGAAAAATAAACATTCGCGTCTTTCGCCTGGAAAGATTCGCTCGTATACATACATATTAAAGGGGCCGAGACGAAGCCACACACACATACACACACACACACACACACACGCACACACACGCACACCCACATGCACACACACACACGAGCTGTATTGATTTTAATATTCGCGTAGAAATGATGCATATATAGGAAAACCGAAATCAACGGTTCGTTTGGTCCGGGGGTTTTTTATTTTATTTTATTTTCTCGAGACCGATGGATCGACGTGTGTGTACCTACATACAATAGAGTTTCGTAAAACCTTAAAATGGCGATGCGTATTTAATAGTATATAGGTACCGCGTATGTGTGTGTGTGTGTATGTGTGTGTGTGTGGGTGTGTGTTTATATATCACTTCGCGCAACAAACAGAGACATCACATTATCATTATAAATTATAATAAATATATAATGCTCTTGCCTTCGCGTCAATTATAATGTATCGATCGGAAACGGTCGCGAAAATCCCCGCGCGGAAAAACGCGTTTTCGTCCGACAATAATATTCGCTAACCGTCGAAAATATTATGATAAAATTGCAAAAAAAAAAAAAAAAAAACTGCGTGCATTCATCTTGTTATCCGACATGAAATCGCAAACGCTCGGGGTCCGCGGACAAAGTTAGTCGACGACGGAAATCAAATAATATTACAAAAGTAAAAAAAAATACAGTAAAGCCATTGATGGTATAAATCGTGTATATCACCTGTTAGACACGAGAAAAGTGAAAAAAACCTAAAGCCAAAAAAAAAAAACATACTTTTTCTTTCTACAATATGATAAAAATGTAACTAAAAATTTAAAAAAAAAGTGCGAAATTCCATAAGAATTTCGCACTATTGTTTTACGACAAGCAACGAGCGTTCGTATAGAAATTTTAAATTTCGTAATTTCGAGACTATGTCGAACGCATACAATCTGAAATTTTTAAATCGTTGCGTGCCCGTAGATTTTGTTCAAAACTTGTTCACTGTGAAAAAAAAAATTAAGTATCAATTTTAACCTAATCTAATCTAGGAATGTCAAAAATGGCCGCCAGTTTAATGCGTAATGACTATATACAGATCAAAATTTTTTTACAAGAAACGTGCGTCGTTACCTATAACATAATATGGTGAAACCATCAATATACATTTCTCTTCGATTCACTTTTCATAGTAACTAAAACGTGATATTTTTATGTTAACCTCGGAAACGATGTGTTTTAAACGTGTGTAATAGTTTTGTGTATCTTTAACTTAAAAACTATTGTATTAACTATTATATTGATCTATTGTGTGAATAAATTTAATTTATTTTGTTGACGGAAAACTGTATTATTTTATTTTTATATACATTTAATAAATTGTATGTGTAACTTGTAACTTGTAATGTAACATAGTTACAGTAACTGTAACTTGGAACCAGTTATTCAGGGTATACATAACTGTAACTTGTAATTAACTGCCCAAAATTAGAGTAACTTGTAACTAGTATCCAGTTACACAATGTATTGTAACTTGTCCACCACTGTTTAAAACCAACTTAATATACAATCGACAGTGAATTTAACAGCCGCAAGATGGACAATTTTATATTGACTAACTCATGCGTTATTTGTGTACGCAGTGTATTATTTACCACAATGTAGAAACTATCTGTGATTAATTGCATACGTTTTAAAAGTGTAATTTCTTGCCCGTGACAATCGAATTAACTAATAATATAATTTCTGTTTTTAATCGCATCCATGTCGCCAAAGTAACCCATAAATCGACAAAAAGAAAATTCAAATTTCGTACCGAAAATACTAAAAAAAAACTGTGTCGGTCGGCCATACATTAGTGGTTGAATTTCGGAAAGCCGGTTTCGAAGTGCACGCAAACCATATTCTGCTTTTGTATGCGAATTTCCACACGTATGCGTGCAATAGATTCGGCATTTACTTAACATTTTATCACCTAATATAGAAGATCAGTGTTGCTCACTAAAAATTAAATTTGGGTGGCAAATCGAACGGGGTCAGTACACAACTAACTCGCGAAATCGCTTTAAACCACACCAAATCAAGTATTGTGGCTAACAGGTGACTAAATTAACGGTTAACTAACAGTTATTCTGTATAATAATTAACTTACACAATAGATTTCTAGCATTATTTTCCGAGTATATGTTTAGGCCACCACCTACGATTTTGGGGTAGCGGTAGCTACGTCAGAACTCTCCAGTGTGCGCCGCTGATAAGATTATCCTCGGTCAAGTTTGGTATTTAAAATGATATTATTAACCCGAGAAATTAAACGATTGAGCCATAACAAATATAATATATATATTTATATACAGAGTGTCCCGCGAGTGATTCATTTTAATATTTCCAGAGATAATAAAGATAATCAAATTCTGTTTTTTTTTCTTTCATATTACACACAGGGTTAAGGATTACAAATATTTACATTGAAGTTTATTTTTTCGTAAAAAACTTAAGAAAAACATTAATTTATTTTATTATTTTTCAAAAATGTAGTCATTTTATAGAATGTCATCATAATAATAATGATTAAAAATCAATCAGTGAATGCGATTACAGTCTGCTGCATAATTATAGGTACTCTTCTTTGAACTTTAAAAAAATATATAAAATCACGCATTTAATGAAAATAAAAAAAATAAAGTAAAAACAAAATTACCTAAATGGTTAATACTCATAAATAAATAAAGTAAATAAATATAGTAAATCGATATATAAATAAAAAATAGCTTTAAGATAATAAATAATAACCAAATAATTTATAGTTCTTAACAAATCTAAGTCTAATAACTAATTTTAAATTATTCCTCCTATTAAAATAAATTATTTTTATACTCTGTGTAAAATGACCAATTTGCATAATTTTTTTTTTTTTGTTTCGATGTATTCCGTCATTCAGTTTTTTTTATTCAGTCGCGTTTTCCATTTTGACTGTGGTACACCTGATGATGAATTCGAAACCTGTCGTATAAAATACTTATCATAATAATCCAGGCGACGCATTGATCCATTTATTTATTTAATTTTTATGTGTACATTTTTTTATTTATATATTTATTTACTTTATTTGAAAATAAAAAGTTAATAAGTCAAAATTTTCAGAAGAATAAACTTTATAAAATGGTTATCTTCAAAATTGTTCGAAAATAACAAGTTATTTTTTTTGTTTTTCTACCAAAACAAAAAATTAATCGAAATATAAATATTTGTAGTCCTTATTCCTGTGAGTAATATAAAATAAAATCCCGAAATTTAATTATGATTATTATCTCCGGAGTAGACATTACAGATGATATATCTTCGTAGGACACCCTGTAGTTACAGTCTTAGATGATAAGATCTAGACACTTATAGACCATCAAAAGCGGCCGCTGGGAAACGCAGTTTTAATACCTATGCGATGGAATTTTAATAATGTGACGATCGTACTTTTGTGATCCGTTGAAAAATCATAATAATAATTTATTACACTAAATAATTGTATTATTTTTATTTACTGACGTCTGTCAGAAACTAAATAAATCATTTTTCTTTTTTTTTTTTTTAAAAAAACCTGTAGATTTTCGACAATTGTCGACATTCGAACGTAATCTGAACGTAGACGCTCACTGGAAAAGGTGACCCGTAACTCTTTAAGCGACGGCATGACTGACACTGAACAAGATAACCGCGGTGTCCCGATGATCTTATCTCCAAAGGCCGCTACAATAATAGTAAGTATATCGGGGCCGTCGTTAAAATGTCTCGGTAAAGCCTCCGCTGCTGGCTCGACGAACGCGTTTGACAATTTAATTGCTACAATATCCCGACATGTTAAATCTGGCCTGCGACCGTTAACGGCAGTTTTTTTTGTACAGGTGAACTTATTTAGCGCATACCAACGCATATTGAACATATGAGATTGACAACATGGAGTTCTACGCACTGTATAGGCGCAACTAGACCACCGACCTCGGGAGTGCTGGAATCACAGACACACCGCAATACCCCCACAAGGGCCCTTTTTAAACGGTGCTTATAATAAGAAATCACAAATTTTATTAAGTAGAATTTTACAAAACGAATCAAAACTTGTTTAACTTTATTTTTTATGCATACACGTCTTGTCTGTATAGGTAATTAATTGTATTTTTGTTCTGCTCATTAATTATTATGAAATGCATACGTATGAAATATTTGATTACAAAACAACTTATCGGGTATTTTCGGGGGCGCTAAATATTCTCTGGCACCCCCATGTTGAACGGAAAATTATTATCGTTAAATCTGAAACGGCCGGTTTCGCGGTCGGCCCGTACAGTTGTAATAGTGTTGGCGGGGCAAACCGGTATTAACGATTTGCGGTAAACTTGTCGTCGGAGTCTGTACCGTGGGTACTGTCAGGCAGCAGTCAACGTTCGGCCGGGGACATGTTGTAACGACGGCCCTTAGTCTCGGTATTAAAAAAAATACAAATAAAAAAAAAAAACCCCGCTACGAAGTACACCGCGGCGCATACCCGCGGTCGTCGGACTCCCGCCTCGGGAAACGTCACCTCCGCCGCACTTATCGATCAGAAAAGTTTCAAATGCGGTTTATTGTGTATACATATATGTATATTATATACCTACGCGTACACACGACGGAGACTTTCTCTCTCGCCCTGTCTCTCTCGCCCCGTGTCTCTCTCTCTCTCGCCTCGTCATTGTTTTCCGCGCGGCACAATACGAATATATTCCGGTCGAGTACTAACGAAAAGGGCGTGTGCGCACGCGCACGTATGAAGGGAGCGTACCTACTTTGGACCACAGGTGCACACACGCGTTTTGCATATATCTATACGTACGGGGGATCTGTACAGTCGCCGGCGGGTTTATAACTTAATTTCTGCCCCGGAACAACAATGGCGAAAAACACAAAAAAAAAAAATAAACCAAAAAAGAAACCTTTGTTTTTCTTTTTTTAATACCTACGCGCATAATATTATTTACTCGTGAATGTAAGAAAAACCAACGGTTTTTAAAAATTTCGCGAATAGGCGGTCGCGTCGTATAGCGTACGATCGCACAACGCTTAATGCGGACGATTTTCCTGGGACGGACTAACTTTTGGTTAGCCGTCGGTCGTGAAACGCAAGATGTAGTAACGGGGCATTGTACGTTTAATAAATACGTTTGGCCGATAGTTTTGTTTGTCATGGGATGGGGGAAATTTTTTTCACCAGAGTATACCTGGGTTCAACGCCGGATCATCGTGGCGTATGACGTGCGAGTTGCGGGGGCGCGCACAGGATTTCTCCCTTTTAACAGACGCCGACGGAAAACAGATTAAAGACAAATATATACAAATATTATAACTAACTGAAAAATATCACGATTTATAGTTATCGCGGTGTTAACTTTATTTTCGATGGTGGCTATAGAGGATTTTGTGTCGTTCGGATATCGTTATCCGGAATTCGACAATATCAACAGCGGCATCTTCGCGTGCGATATTATTGAAAAATAACGGCTCGGCGCAGTGTTATACACAATAAATTAGATTATTGACGAGTCTTCTGTCAGACTACCGGTATAATCCGAGTGAAGCTGAAAATCGAATGTTATTTCAGAAGCCCTAACCTAATAAGTGATTTAAATTTATAAAAATCAGTAAATGTCGAAACAATAATCCGACACGATGAAATAGAATAACGCTCAACAACGCTACCTCATAATTTCATTCGCGAATCGTTTACACGCAGCCGGTCGCGTATCACTAAGGGACAACGACGGGCTTCCGAATACGTATTGTGACGGTCCGAGCGGCTTACGCGACAATAGGCATGAAAAACGATTTTCGTGAATTTCATACGAAATTTTAACGCTCCGAACGCCCGTAGAAATAATCAACGGTGACGTTGCACTCGAGGTTTTCTTCTTTTTTTTTTTTTTTTTTTATCATATCGTTGAAATGTAACGATTACCGAAATGTGCGAGTCGCTCGTCAATCGTCCTGAACGCGGCGGCGGCGGCGACGACGACGACGTCGTCTAATCGGTTTTACGCAGCCGAAAAGGTTTTCAGAAGGTTTGCACCCTTCTGCCGTCGTCATCGTCGTCGTCGTCGTCGTAGTCGGACGAGTGGCGTATCTGTATATAATATGGGTATAATGTTATTATATATGTATTCGGCGGAAATCGGAAGGAAAATCAATAGCAAAACGATTTGTAGGATAAAAAACCTATTTGTTACTACATACGAACGCGCGTATAATACGTATACTGCGTGTATATATATATATATGGTCGTTCTCCCGTATACGTTTTCTCATTAAGTCCGCGCACAAGAAACAGTGGCGAGTCGGAAAAGTAGTTTTTATACGTGTATACGTATATAATAGTGTATGACGGGGAGTCGCGGGCGCGGAAAGACGGAGAAGAAAAACAAGTGGTGGAAAACCGCGGCGGCAGGGTCAACAACAATAGTCTTTTTTTTTTTTTTTTCTTTTTCTCCTCTCCACTACTTCTCCTCGCCGCCGCCGGGAACAAATGTGTTGTTTTCTTTGTCGCCTTTATTTTTCCGAACCATTAACTATTTACGTGACCAATGGCGAAAATAAACCGAAGGGCCGGGCGGTACGCGGTGGCGGGGAGGGAAAGGGAGTGGTGTTATATGTGTACAGCGGTCCACGCATGTAGGCAAGGCGCTGCAGATCGAAGGGGACGATTTTGGACGTGGACCTTACACACACACACACACGCACGCACGCACACGACACTTGTACCGAAAACCGTCGTCGTGTTCTTCGTTCCCCCCGTCCGCTCGTCCTCGGAGCGGCCGGCGGCAAGGGATTAGATACGGTCTTGATATTGAGGGACGGCCGGCGGCGCGCGGGACAATCAACCGATTCCGACGGCTCCCCGAGGACTTTTTTTTTTTTTTTTTTAACAGGATCCCTTCGGTTTTTTCACGTTTCTCTCGCGCTTACACTCCCCGCTCTTACGCACACGCGCTCTGTCTCTGTTCACTTTCTTCGTTTTTACGCGTTTGTCTCCGCGCGTCCCGTCTCTGTCGTTTACTCCGCCGCCGTATACTTGATCAGATACCGTGCATAGGACGTGTATTAGGCGTGGGGGATTTATTGGCCGTACAGACGCGGAGAATTAAAACCGTTTCCCGGCGAATCCATATCGATCGTCCGCCGCCGACGCCGCCGGCGGCACCGTCACGGAGTCGGACGCTCGGGCGGACGGAAGGACCGGGCGGCGCGCGGTGCGGCGGTAACCGCACGCGGTGCTTTTTGTGCCGCCCGCTAATCGCGAACAAACTCAATTTGGCCAATCGTTTAAACGTTTCCGGTTTGTGTGTGCGTGCGTGAGTGTGCGTGTGCGCGTGTGTACGCGTCGCCGACAAACACAAAAAAATAAATGAAAAATACGACAAATTTCGTTTGTTTGCTTTCACATCAATTCCCGAAACTACTCTAACGACGACGACGACAATGATGCCGCATTTCTTTCTTCGCTATTTTTTTTTTTTCCCCCATCCCATACGCGTGCGATTCGACGATATAACTATTCGCATTATCTTTCGTCGCCACCTCGACATGTCGAGCGTATAGAACGTTTGTTTAGTACAAAACGAAAACACCTATACGCGTCATACGTTGTATTACTATTATTATTATGTTCAATCAATCGAATATGCGAACTACTAAGGCTACGTGTTATATACTTTAAACAAACAAAATATTTACATCTGGAAATCGGACAATGTCATATTTTCGTTCGGTTTTGTGCGGTTAATTTTAACATTAAAGTGAATAATAATTAGTCTATTACCAAAGTTAAAGGCAACAGCATTGTCCGCGGTGTTTTCGCGTTGGTTTTTGTTAGAATTTTTAATTTATAAGCGAAGATATACAAATTTTAATATTCCACGTACCCGTGTTTAGCTTTAAAATTAAAATATCGAAATCAACCAACTTACCCAACCATAAATAATAATTCAACCTTTAAGGATGGTCATAGGTCAATTCACTCTAATATTAAAACTAACAGCGTAAAACTGGATCTATTGAGCGAAAATTATACATTATCCAATTTTCAACTTTAGCCCTAATATCTGTATAGGTATATAAATATGTAGGTTTATTTAAATGATAAAATATATCGCGTAAAAGCTATTAATAGCTTAAGTCCGTTTCCGGTTCTATAAGTTAATTAACAATCTAGTTATTAGTTTTTAAAATAATCGGCAAATACACACCAAAAGATTATTATTTATTGTAGTCAATTTTCTTTACTACACGGACGGAATGAAAAAAAAATATGAATGGTTGTTAACACGGATGGAAAAAACAAAAAAAACTATGCGCTATACTGGGTGGGTATCTATGGTTAAAACATATCCATGGTATCTTTTTTTATCTTTTCTAGATTATTTGACATTGTTTTATAGCTTCTATTTCCTCACGGTTGTGTTGACTGATTTTTTTTTTCTTTTACTAGTCTCATGAAGAATAAATCGAGCCTTGGTCCTTCCACAAATAGTGCCACGAGGAGGCACTTATTTAGGAACAATAATTCACAAACACACAAAATATTAATACTAACAATAATACCGATGACATTAACGACAAAAAGAATAACGTCAATAACAATGATAACAATAGTCACAATAATGAAAACAGTGGTGACAACAACAATAATGAAAACAGTTGCGAGCTCCATGGCACCAATGCTTTATGTCTGCTTTCAATTATAATAAATCGATTAATTATAGACATGATTCTCACGTTCAGATAGGAAATATGAATTTCAAGTGCAATCGAATGTCTAATCGGAATAAACATATGGATAATACCTATTCTCTACACGGCTGCCCTCTATTCCATGGTACATATATAAAACATTACTAATGAAAAACGATTCTGATCAAAGTATTATTAGCCGCATTTTTCCCTTGTTACCAAGGTAACTCAGAAAACAGCAAACAATTTTGAATTTTTCCATTCGTTAAGAAAGCTACGAAAAAAATCAAAAAAAGACCTCCTCAATACAATTATTAGATCAAAAATAATACAAGAAAGTCTTTATGTTTTTTTATTGGGATGGAAAATCGAGATTTCTGATGGAAAATTCAAATACAGCACAAAAAAACACAAAACATGAAAATCATGGTAAAACGAATTAAAAGAAAGAGATGGTACTACTGATGGGCACAATATTATTGTGGATGGATAGTTGGGGAGGTAGGATACATAAAGTTATTTAGTTTACATCTGTACGCTACGATAAATCATTGCCAACGAAAAACAATTCCGAACGAAGTTCGTTTATACATGATTTGATATGCCGTAATATTTACGATTCTTATAAAAATTTGATCTTAAGATCATTATAAAAAATATATTCTGTTATATACATATAATACATATAATATATTCTGTTATATACATATAATACATATAATATATTCTGTATTATACATACGAATAGGTGTAATATAAAATAATTTTGTATTTTTGGATTTTGAGTAGCGAGAAATGTATTTGTTTTTTCTGCCAATGTAAAAACTTTTCGACCAGAAATCTTGCTCCGATCATCAGTAGCATTTTATCTATAAGTTAACTTTATTTAATTTTTCTAACTGACGTAGCACGTCGTTTTTTCATTTTTGCGTTGATTTTATAATATTTAAGAAAAACAGGAAACTGTTCGTTTAATTTTACGTTATTTATGTCGATTTCCGGAATATGCTTTGACGAGGGAAAAATACAACTCGTACAGTACTCCACTCAGTGCCGACATTTTATTTGCAGTGATTTATGATTTTTGAGCAGTATGCTTATGCAGTAATAACTACTATAATATACTACTATAATATCTGGTGTTGATATTTAATATTATGTTAATGGTCCCCAAAAATTGTATACATTTGTTTTTACAATGTGTGCTGTTTGCGTGTGTGTGTGTGTGTGCATTTGAATCTAGTAAGGAGTAAGAAAGTCATTTTATTACAAAAATGGTTTTATTATTTTTAATTTTGATTTTTTTTTTGTGATTCGGTTAAAATATTCATAGATTGAGACTTGAAATTTTTACAGAAAACTTTCATTTGCCTTTTCTAGCCGTGGTAACATTGTAAAAACATTTTGAGGATTTTTAGCATTTTAAGTTTGCGAGTTTTTTTACGTAGGTAGTTTTTATTTAGTAGGTGCAGTATGTAAATATTATTTTTTGGTCAAACATAAATACTTGAATGTTTACAGTAAGTTTATTATAAGTTTTGATTATAGTGGTTAAAAAATATATAATTGTCAAATAATATATTTTAAAAATCGTTTAAAATTATATTGTTGAAATATATAATTTTTATAATTGTTAAAATTTTGAAGAAAATCTTGAATATATTGGCCTAACTAATCATGGGTTAGGTTAAGTTGTATAGTCAAATTAGATAGAAAATCGATCGAACCAAATTTCTTCCGATCTCGCGGTCAATTATTCTGTAACCCCCCCCCCCTCGTAGCACGCGATACAAAGTAGCACGACACTGAGCGTCGGATTTGGAAAAGAGAAGGTAGAAGTGGCAGTAAAACGATAAGTTCAAACGGGTTTTTTTTTTTTTCCAAATATCTCGAGATCCGCGAGTTCTGGGTCGAATCTTGTTATACAGAAGACTAATCGACATTACGTTTCGAACGATAAAAGCGGTCGTCCGCGTTTAGCCGCTCTAGACGGGGGTAGGTAATTTACGGAGGGCCGCGGGCGCCAGGAGACGACAATAACTATACGGTGCGACGTAAACGGGCGCCGAGTGACCGGTGGCAAACGTGTCCTGCGACTATTTGACGCGCGTCTCGGAAATCCAGGGAGTCGTGGTAGGGGCGGGCGAATAAGTGATGGACATTGTCGTATAACAGTCCGCGTGTAATAATACGACTCGTGTGTGTGTGTGTGTGGTTTTTTTTCTTTCTTAATGGCCACCGCAGCAAGAGGCGGCTGCGGTAATAACGGCTTGTAGTGTAATGGCGCGACGGAAGAGGAAAACGTGTAATCCGTTTGAGCCGCTCGACCGCCGCGGGAGAGTCGACCCGCACACACGCGATATAAATAAACGCACACGTACGCCGCGTAAACGGGGAGCCTAGAGACGGAGAGGGAACGGTAGAAAGGGAAAACACGAAAAAGCCAAAAAAATATATATAAAAAAAAAAAATATAAGCGAAAAATATATATATAAGAAAAGAAAATGACAAAAGTTAATGGCCGTCGGTCCCGGAGGCATATATGCAATAAACATAACACGCACACACGGAGGTGAAGGTTTTTTATTTTTATTTATTTTTTTCTTTCCCCGCCGCGCCCGCCGAGCCGTGGACGGCGGGATATTACCGCGCGCGCTCGTCCGCCAACAAGACTAAGCTGGTTCCATTAAGAAGTCAGCGGGCGCGGGAGAGCGGCAACCGGACCATTTCTCTCGATTATACGCGGCCGTATATGCCTCGCAGAGCTCGTATCCAGTAAATCCCTTCATTTTTAAAAAGGTTCCCTGTTTTCTTTATACACACCATTCCCTTTCCGACGGCGCCGCCGCCTCCACCGCCGCGAAATGAGGGTAAATGAGTCCGGCAAAACGGTTAACGGGGCCCCGGGAACTAAAAGCTTTTTACGTCACTGCGCTGAATATACTATGAGAACCGCGTTTTTTCTCTCCGTCTCCTCCCTCACTTTGTCTTTCTCTTTATCTCTCTCCCTCTCTCTCTCTCTCTCTCTCTCTCTCCCACTCTCTTTCCCTCTTTCTCGCTCGCCCCCACTACCCTCCGCGCCGCCCGCTCTTTATCCTTGCTCAGCTCTCTTTTTTACGTTTTTAACAAGATTTCCTTTTTTATCCCTTTTTTTTTTTTCATCTCGGGTCAGCAGACGGAAAGGTACCCGAAAAAAACGCGTATAAATTAAAATGATATTATACTAGCGATTAGCATAAAACGCAGTTTCTTTATAATTAATGATTACTACTATACCGGTGTACCGGTGTCTGTCTAACGAAAAAAAAACTCCTCCTTTTTAATTCGTTTAATTCATCAACATTTACGACATTTATGATATTCGTATTATATACTATTACGGTCTTTAACGTTTACTATTCAAACGAATTTAATAATTTGTGCGTACAATATTATAATAATACTCACGTATTATTTAACTGCTTTGGCGTAATTACCGGGGCGGGGGGGATTTGGGTGTTGTATCCCTCCCACAACACCTTTTTTTTTTTTTTATGAAGAGACCGGGGAACTATATTATTTATGTACTTATTTAACTATAAATATTATCACAATATATAGTCTATATTTTGCAGAATTAATATAAAAAACCCGAATTCCCACGCTATCTGTACATAAATACTTCGTAACAAACGCAGGTGCATACTGCCCTGCCAAAGCGAAAGACATTAACCAACAGTTTTTCATAAATAAGATTACCTATTGTTTGTTAAGTCATTTTACATAGATTTTTCTACGTTAAAATACAATAAAACATCATTCAGATCCTCTAAATGAGCTTTACATATGAAGTAGTATCTACAAAAATATCACCAAATACTAGACAAATTAGCAGGAATTGATATATTCTAGAAAATACGCGATTTAATATATTGTTCTGCGTGGTACGTTTAGTAAATTTATTTAGCGGAATACATACTGCGTATGTATCTAATAACTGTTTAGATTATCTGACAAACACTTTATGATTAGATGATCACATGCATGTGGGTACATACATTTATTATACTAAAAGGTGATTATGAAAAAAAAAAATATTTGTTTTGTGAATGGGGGTGGGGTAACATGTAAAAACATTTCATTTCCCCCCCCCCACAAACGTTACCAAATTACGCCACTGTTGAACTGTTTAATTCACCGGATTGTTATAAAGAATGCGAATAATATAATTCATTTAAATAAGTCATCAATTAAATTTAAATTTAAATCAGTCATTATAGGTGTATTGGTACCAGGGTGTATTCACGTGTACAAAATTTTGTAAGCAACATACAAACATTTTACATTTTTTATTCATAGTATAATTTGTAACTAAAGTTTTGTTTTTTTTTTTTTTTAATTACGTTAATTTGTTGATCTCACATAATATCCACTATAATAGTTAGTAATACGTGTAATATCATTAAACAAAGTTAGAAAATTGTTTAGTTTAAGCAAATAAATTAAATAATTTAAATTTATTGTAAAAACGGCAAATTATATCGTGTCTTCCAGTGACTCCTCATTTTCACCCTCGTTTCCATAAGGTATTACATTTAACTGTTATTGACCGGCAATTAATTTATTTTTAAATGCCACGTCCAATGCATCCTAGCCTATGACAACAAAATGAAACTAATGTATTTTCGTCCATGTCACAAAAGTAACCCATAATTTTCGTATACGTTCATTAATAAAATACTAAAACACACATATCATCCATCCTTTAGGGGTTACATTTTTAAAATCCGATTATTCGAGTACATAAGGATGATACAATTCTGTGCATGTAAATTTTCAAATTACTCATTGTGTGCGATAAATTCGGCAAGTGACAAGTATCTAAAAGGGGTGTAACCCTTCTCGTGGGCCGCATGAATATATGTATACTATTTTAATAAGTTTCTAGTCAATTTATTCACTGAAAAAATGTGTTGTTCTTCACTGAATCGTATGGAAATATATTTAAAAAGGAGAAAATAGATTTCTAATTACTAAAAATTACTGCCTTTAATCAATATTTTTCTGGAGATTGCAGTAGTTAAACAGGTGTAAAAGGTAGTTATAAGACATTATGGCCATCCATTCTATATATTTTATCTTTATTTCATAATTAAGTTTTTTTTATGCAATTTTATTCAAATTATTACATTCAATATTACATTAGTTAAAACATTTTTATTGTTTTTTTAAGGGGTAGTAGAACGCTTCCAACCCCTCTTAATAACCATGATTTAAACAAAAACGTATTTAGCTCACCCTAAATCTTGGCTACGCCATTGGATTTTACTGTATATCACGTTCAGGTAAGCAAACAAACAAATGGACAAACAGACACTTTCTTAAATTAAAATAGAAGATAATAGATTGGTCGATTAGATTTTAAATCCCGTTCTATCGTAAAATTACGATGGCGCACGTAAAACTTAATTTATGATGTTTTGGCAAAGTATCATAAGGTTTAGCACAGTGTAACAGAAGCCTCTTCTTATAATAATATAATACCCGATAGCCGATGACTTATAACAATTTTTGGCGTTTTAAATTTTCACTTATCAAACATGCATTTAAAGCTAGGTGGCAGGTATAATATAATACATTCTCGTTAGTTAAGTATATAATAAGAGTTAGTTGTAATAGGCACCCTAAAAATTGTTTTCCTTTCCTGAATGCTCGGTTCAGAGTGTTTGATCGAGATCTACGTTTAGAATCAACAATATAAATTATATATTAAGCGTACCAATAGGTACTACAATATATTTTACTAAAGGTATTTTTATACTATTGTCACGGTTGGGTAGACGGAAGCGGTAAATGGCGTCCTGCTCTCGAACACACCGAAGGCTATAAGAACGGTTGTTTTGAAATCTATAACCTATAAAAAAAACTGGGATTTTAAAAAAAAAATTATTCACGCATAATAAAGTGTTGCAACATCCAGCGTCAAAAAGATGATGCGTAATTATACAAATGAAAACAAATAACATACTGCTGAATAGTGCTGATGGGTATTGTAGGTAAAGAGTTGAGAAGGTAGAATAATAAGTATGAAAAGTAATTTATTTTATATCTGCATCCAAAAAGAAATCATTATTGACAAAAAACGATACTAAGTGAAGTTCAGTTTTAACGTGTTTTGAAATGCTGTGAATTTCACGGTTTTCAAAAAAATTTAAACTTTAAACACTTATGAAAAAAAAATTATTATCATATTTTATTTAAGGGTACAAATTTTCTTCAAAAATAAAAACCAGAAACTATACTGTGTCTGTTATATAAATACATATATAGATCATTTTCCAGCTACTTTTGGACATTTTTACAGCTCCTCGCAGACCTAATGCGCTTTTATTCGGGAATCAGAGTTTTTTTTTTATAGGCTTGTTGAAGTGATAAACATTGAATTAAATTTAAATAAGAATTCAAATTGAATTTGGCGGTTATTTCTAGTGATGAATTTTTTTAGCTCTGCGCATCCCTTTTTTTTTTTTTTTTTTTTGGTGGTAGTTTAATACTTGTAAACTTGTGGTATAATATTATAAAATATGGTAATTTATTGTTAAAGAATTAACGAAGCATATCTCTACAACGGCGCCAAACTATACTTCAAGTATAGCAGTTTCTACACATCATATTTTAGGTAGGTATAGGTGTACTCGGTAATCGAAATTTGCGATATTCGGGTAGAATAGGTTTATACCAATTCAAAAGTTATACATTTTAATTTTTGGATAGTAAAATTAGGATACAGAAGTTTTCGAGGTAGGTGGTGGTTTTGAATTTTAAATTCTACTACACGATACAAATATAGTTCGGGTGCCACTCTATCTCCATAACGCGCAATAGGCTGGGTGAAATTCGACTTTAGTGATGGAACTTCGCTGCTCACGTGTGTTTTTTATTTTGATTTTAAATTCGAATAATACCCGTATCGAAAAATACAGTAAAATGTGTGCGGCGGACCGAATAGGCAATTTCGCGACACCTATGCGTCCCGGGCGTCCCGAGCACGGCAACTGTCGGCAGTACGGTCGCTCGCGATCGGTGTAAACCGGTGCCGATCAGTTCCGCGTAAACAATAACGCAGACTACTAGTAAACGGGTGGCGTCGAGGACGAGGATATATAGAGAAAGACTGAAATGAACGGGAGGAAAAAAAAAACAACACAATAATAATAATAATAATAATAAAAGTTACGTCAGAGTCGCGGAGGCTTTACGTGATTTACGAGCCGCGCACTTTTAGCGTTCGGTAACTGTGCAGCAAACGTCAAGCGCCCGCCGCCGCCGTCGCGTCGAAGACTTCGCGCGGGGAGGACCGTTCCGTACAGCTTTTTTGTGTATTTTATTTTATACTTTTTTATATAAACACACACGGGCGCGCGCTCTCGCACATACACACACACACGTATGTATATATATATACACGAGTACATACTAATGCGGATTAATGAACGTCGTAGTTCTTTTTCGATATTTATTAATCTCCGGGTACTCCAATAATAAATCAAATCGGGAGTGAAAAAAAAAAAAACAACGGCAACAACAACAACATCATTAATTAATGTTCAACAGAAATTTGTCGTTTTCGTTTTCCCGAGGAAATTAAACGAGAACAGTGGCGCGGGAGCTCGGAGGGCGTGATAGGGGAGGAAAGGAAAGCAAAAAAAAAAAAAACACGAAGAAACCCTGCGGGCAGGTTTCAACCCCCTTTGTCCGTGACGGGGGAGGAGTGAACGGCAGCGGCGCGCACTAACTACGTTAAATGATTAATAACACTAGGCGAAAAGAATGGAGGAGCGAAAAGGAAAGAACCACCGCGCCGGACCCTTTAGTGGCCCAAAAGCTATCTACCGGAAAATATTACCTCTCTTGTGGAATACCGCCAAGACAACGAATATTATTAAAGGAGGGGAGAGCTGCAAAGGGACGACAATAACAAAGAAGGAAATAAAGCGGGCGTTAAAAAAAAATAATCGTAATAATAATAAAAAAAAAAAAACCCCAACCCGAGAGGGAAGAAAAAAACAATATTTTTAATTAGATTCGGGAATTTGCGTTTATACATTATGCGGGCGAGCGGTAAAACACGTAGTTTTGTTGGTTTTGAGATTCAGCCACCACCACCGCCGGTAGGTAGGTAGGTAGGTAGGTAATAATAATACGATAAATAATTGTTAACATATTTTTGTAATAATGAGATACGTTTTTAAGCGCACAAGTGAGTTTTTCCTCTGATTTTCAACACAGAAGGGGGGCGATGTATCATCATTGATATATGACCATCAGCGATATTCAAATTCAACGGAATAAATATAGCTAGCCTAGATAACAAAGAATGCATATTATTATTAGGCTCTCTATGTATAAACATAATGTGTATAAATACTTAATATTATCGAATTTGAAGACAACGTATTTTCGGAGAAAAACTGTTAAAATTATGTACCATACTTATACTCGTATACTATTATATCGGGTGCTTTCGAAACCGTCGATTCGACCGTGACCATGACTGAAAAATACACGTTTATACTTTTAGGCGTTTTTATGTCGAACCGTGAGAAACACTCGACGTTTGCATCTAATATATATATATATATATATATATATTTACCTAGTCAATTTTTTATTTTTTCGACCGAGCTGAAGAAATCCGGTACATATTATAATGTGTATACTCGTAAGTGTAACTCTATTGCAGTATATACGGTTATAATGCAAGATACGCGTTCTCTATAACATAATATGTAATGTCTGGTTTACAATAAATTGTATATGCGTGTTTAAAATGTCTGTCAAAGAATATCCGATCGCAGTGTTGTACAACGATATTCAATCCTATAGACCGAATACAGTCCGACAATACGAACCGCATAATAATTGCGGAATCCGATAAAACAGCAACTAGTTTATTTAAGAACAATGCTTAAGTCCATAATCGGTAATTTTTGTACACAATTTTGTATTATGTAATTTTTTTTTGTTTTATTCTTTGCTTATTGATCAAAATGACATAAGGCTATATATTTATTCTAACACACGCTATGCCTGTAATGTTAATTAAAATATAATATCTTAAGTCACTATAAAGTACTTTTTATTGGTAAAAAAAAAAAACATAAATTATAAATTTATTGTTTATTTTTAAGTTTAGTTTGTTTAAAAATATCATTAAAATTAAATTTGCTTGCATTGAATGTTATACAAAATTGACCAAATCGTTATTTCCCTGAGACCAAAGATATTATAGTTAAATCGGGATGTTCATTATTTTAACGCGCTGAACACTGCGCATGAAATTATCCGTTAAAAAAAATCTATTCAAAGCGAAAAACTAAAGAAGAAAATTTAAGACTTTTATATAAAACAAACTTATATTCGCAGTAAAAATAAACGATGTTTTCAACCATATACCGTATGCGTTAAATTATAGTTATAGGTATCGATTATTTTTAAAAACTTTTTCCGACTCAATTATAGTTTATTTTTAGGACTAAATTGAGTTACATTAGGCGTAAAATTGGGGCGGTTTAGTTCGCAAATGTAACACAAGGTAGGTCCCATATCCGAAGTGTATCTAATTTCTGAGTCTTTAAATTGTTCCCGTTCTAAATTTTATTCGATCGATTTCCATATACTACTAGGTATTATGTAAACTTAATCGTGTATGAATACAATTCAGAGCACTTGTATACTCAATACTATAACATTGTACGTATTATTATTCGTAGGTTTTTTTTCACCGTGGATTTATACTAAAATAATGGCCTGTAAATAAACTCGATTTGGGATAAAAGTAATAAAAAAAAAAAAAAATGAATAACTGCAAGAACATGGCTCGATTTTAACTCCAATATAACACGTAAACGGATATATTATTATTATGTTATTGCTGCATTTATTACACTGCAACATTTGCATGGTGCTGCACACGTTTCATAATATATGGGTACGAGTAGTTATTATTAACGTAAACAATTGATCAAACGTTTAAAAAAATAATAATAATACGAAGAATTATAGGTAGGTATACCTATACCGTATACATATGGATACAGATACCGTGGCCATTTTATTATACATAGTTTACGATTTCATAAAACACAATAAAAGAAAATTACACCGTTCATATTATACACAGACATACCCACGCAATACTTTTACATATGCAGGGGCGGATCAAAGGTTGAAAGAAAAAAGGGTGGGGACAATTCAAATTTATCCAATAGCAAATTTAGTCATATGACTAATATATTTGTATTATAGCGTACTTGTGGGAGAGGGGAATAATCTAATTATTCCCCTTTTTATCAACCACTGTAACGTGTGTACAATAATTATAGTAGGATTGATTCTATTATTTCATTAATGTCACTATTACAATTGCATGGATGGCGTTATCACTTTTAGGAAACTATCAAATTATTCGGTTCAATTAAACACTATTATAGTATTATCCATATTATCTACTTATCCGTTTTCGCATAATACACACCCAGAATCTCACCATCTCAAATCAGAATTTCTGATGACAACAGAACAACCTCCGCAGTATGTCAATCCTAAGGGGGGAGGGGGAGCAAAACATCTAAAACTATTAAGCGGACGCTATATAAGTGCATTTGTTTGTACCTTCGTTTTGTAAACGCACAACAACATAATAAAACCAATTTTGTGTTATTAGTTTTAATAGCATAGTACTTATTATCAAACTTAAAAGAAAGAACATTTTCTGTGTTTGTACGTTAATTTTTATGCAAAATGTATGACAATTTAAAAATGCTAATATTTCGCTTAAAAATTAAAATATTAGAAAAAAAATCAACGAGCCAATACAAATAATACTCTTATCTATACATTTAATTATGAAGCGATACACCACTCTGATATTAAAAGTTTAATCAAGACCGATTCGGATAGATTCAACATCACTGTCGAGCTTCAAATATGCACATTATTAAACCGAAACTATCAGAAAATCCCATAAAAGCTAACTTCCCTAATAGTAACTGGTTTGTTCAAACAACGTAACGTTACCGTGTAAAACAGGGGTGTCCAACCTTTTGTGAATACTGGGCCACATCATGTAGGTAAAAGTTGTTGTGGGCCACATACTTTTTTAAATAATAATACATTCTAATTTAATGATTAAATTATAATCTATACTACAACAATACATTTTTTTTTATAATTTTACATTAGCGAATAATAAGCAGAAATATTTTTACAAGTATTGATATTTAATAATTTAATTATAAGTACACAGAAAAATAAATTTATTTATAATAAAAAAAAGTTTTTGTAACGGTTAGGGACTCAGAAGTAGCTTTTTTAATATTGAGTTGCTGAGAAGAAAGACATGTTTTTAACTCTAAAATTNATGCCCCATTTTTCATTTCTATAAAAAAGTATTCCGCTGTCCACATTTCGTTGAATATCCTTCCTTCGTCCGTTACTTTTCTTTTCTTATTGGACGACATTTCGCTATTTGATTATTAGTTTATTATACAAATCAAATTATTAGGTATTTTATTTTTATTTTTTGATAAATGACACAGAATATTGGTGTCGGAGCCAATAAAGATAAAACACTAATAATGTTTACCTTTAGGTCCGATGCACACGTCCGTATGTAATATAAGATAAGATGTCGCAACGGTAAATACACAGACGTTATTTGATGGTTTATATTTTTAAAATAAATTTGTTCTCGTAATATTAATATATTATATATAATTAATTCATAGTTTTTAAATTGAAGTGAGGGCCGCGGGTTGGACACCCCTGGTGTAAAACATTAGAAATTAGACCTATATATATATATTATTATACCTATATAGGATTCACAGAGTGCCTATTTAGTTTTTAATCGAATATTATGTTACCATAATGGCCGAAGTTCAATAAAAAAACAATATTTATAGCCATTATTGAATGTATATTTGACAACACGTATTACCTACTTTGAATATGGCGCAAGAAGTCCGTTTTTAAGTGTTTTATATTTCAAAACAGTCAAATATAAAAACATATATTAATTTAGAACTGTTTTAAGGTTTAGGTATAATATATTTGACGGAGTTATTTATTTTAGATTCTGAACTCAACGAGAAATGTTTTGGTTTTGTTATGTGTGCTTTATTTTTCGTGTTTGTATAAACGACTTTTCGACCAAAAATCTTATTCCAATCAAAATATGACAAAATACCTTTTTTTTGTAGTATTTTGGATTATTTTTCTGATAGTTCTCATTTTACTACATAAAAATCATAGAGGAGAAACAGATAAGTTTACGGCAGTAAAAGTTTCATTATTTTCCCTTTTTGTCAATATTGTTTTTCTATCGAAAAATTTTGCTCAGAATTTTATGAGAGTAGAATATTTTCTGAAAGTTATTTTTATTTAGTTGGTACGTATGAAAGCCCACGATAATTGTTTAAAACCAAGAAAAACAAAATTAAAAAAAAGTCGATCGGTCAGTTTTTTTTTTTTTAATAAAATATTGCGTTACCGAACTTCGCTCAGAATCGTGTTTCGTTAGCAATATTTTATCGTTGCGTATAGATATAAATTAAATAAATGTATGTACCCTACTTTCCCAACTTTCCACCTACAACAGTAGCAAACTCATCAGCAGTATCAATTTTTTTTTCGTGTGTGTTTACTGAATGTATATTTAAAAGGCACGCAATTAATTTTTTTAAATACGCAGGTATCATCGTAACTAATGTCAATACGATTATCAAGTAAACTACACATTTTCATTTATTCATAAACGGGACTATAGATCACTTATATATAATATATAACTTTTTGGTCTTACTTGCGTCGAAAACTTGAGACTTTTATTTTTGTTTTGAAGGCTATATACCTTTTGGCTCTTGACCCTGAACTTCCTGTCGTTTACTACGATAGATGTTCAATATATATAGTCGGGCCTTTGCCGTCTCTTTTTTTTTATTTTTATTTTTTTATATATACTCAACCCAGTGACCGATATCCCGTACGGTTTTTAGATTTCCAGCTCAATTATTACGAAAAATAATCTATACGACGACGCGGAAATAAATAAATTTCTAAATAAGACTTATTTTAAGATTTAATTTTTAACTTCATGTTTCCAAAAATTTATATTTAACTGACATCTACTATACTGCATAAAACGGCAACAAACATTAAAGTTATCGATCTACGATGATTATCACAAAACGACAATTACGAAAAATTATAAAACCCATTAAGATAAAAAGATGGCCATCACGTTGTTCAATGGTATATCTTTCGGCGGGTCTTCTTCCGTAAAAGTGCATTATTCTCGGCATTTCTAACATACATATCAAATTGTCAACATTAATCATTCGGAGGGATACATGCACATTTTTAAGCGTGTGTTTGATTAACGACTGTAGCGCGCGTATATCATCTGATGATGAATGTTGAAAATATATTATATATTCCAAACGTCAAGTTTAATTAAATTTCGAATACAAAAGAACTCTCTGCAGCAGTGGAAACGTTCGAAATTAATTTTAATAAAAAAAAAAAATGCGTATACGAATATATAAAACCACGAATGTGTCTTCTTCTTCTTTTTTTTTTATGACAATATAATTTATTAACTAATTTCTTTTTCGGTGATTTTAGTGTAATCTTTTTACTCCGAGTATTTTCTTGCTTATTTACATTAAACATCATAAAAGAAGAGAGAAAAATTTCAAATTATATGGAGAGTCCATATTATGCAATATACGTAATTTAATACAGCAGGGAAATTATTTTTAAATGAAAGGCATAAATATTTTAAATGTATTTTTTAATAGGAAATAAAACGACCCGCAAGGTATACATTAATACCTTAAAGAGCAGTATTAAATATATTTTTTTCTTTTAAGTTTGCCGAAAAATAAAGACGTAAAGCCATTTATTAAAAAATATGTACTAATATATTTATATCGCATTCGAATAAAAAAATATACATTTTCAATATTATACACTAAAGCACTCAAAGTATAAAACATTTGTATTAAAAACTATATTAACTTTTGTTTCATAACCGTTCCCTTTGTAAGCGGATTTTTTTTCTTCCGTGTTAATAATTTCAAAGGGCCGCAACTCACGACGAGTAATTATCACGCGGGTTGAGGAGGTCGGGGGTGATTGCGGACGAAGACTATTGTTTTAGGCAATAAACATCATCTGCAACATAATCGTTATAATTTATTATATTATCGCAGTTTTTTTGCAGTGGTGATGAAACCCGTGTGAAACGATAAAACCGAAAAACCAAATACTAACAATAGCTAGAGAACGGATTAATATGCACTTAAAATCCACAAAAAACCGCTTGTTAACGTCGAAAAAATCCCCGAAAAAGCACTTGTTAGAAAATACAAAAACGGTAGAGTGATTTAAAAGTCACCCATCTAAACAGCTCTAACTTCCTAAATAAAACGGTTAAACAGTACGAAAATAATTGATACAAAGTAGTTAATTTCTTTTTGATAATACGTGCAATTTTATTTAAAAAACGAATTCCAATTGTAATTACGTCTAAATACTATTTTTTTGTTTTTTCATTTATTTGCGGTTTTGAACGCTCGTTTGTGCCGGATTTTAATGAGCGCCTACAAATCCGTTCGGTATAATGACAGCGTGTTATTTAATAGGCGGACGACCGCGCCATCTATCCGGCGAATTATAATAACGTCTGAAATCCAAAGGCGTCGTATTATTACGCCCGTAAAACCGTACGGGTACGCGCGTGCGGACGAGGTCGCCGTGTATAATATTACGTATGCGTATAATAATAATAATATATGCAAAGACGAATTCAAACGCGCTCCGAGAGTGGGAAAACGCAGGGGGACGATGGACGGCGTGGCGGTTAGGCGGAGGGGTCGGAAGACATTTTGTTTTATTCCTTTTCTTTCGCGTTCTCCTCGTCGTCGTCGTCGTCGTCGTCGTCGTCAGCGGCGGTGGCGGTGGCGGCGGCGGCGGAGGCCCAAAGGGTCTCAGGGCCGGTACCGCCGCCGCCGAGTGTAGAACGGCATTAAAAAAAACGTGCGCACTCGTGTGACGCTCACTCGTCGCCGTACATAAATATATGTATACGTAAAGACCCGGCGGTATGGGGTAAAGTTTGTCGGGTGGGCGGCGATGAGCGGCGGCGGGGCGGTCGGGGGATACGGCGGCGGCGGTGGCGGATATTAATCAATAACGGAATTTGGTTTTGTCTGCACAGCAACAGAAAGTGAAAGAAGCGCGGCGCACACACGCGCGCACGCGAGCGCGAACACGACTCACACGGACGCGCGGTCCGTATACATGCGCGCGTATAATAATACGCGTACACACATACACCGCGTACGTACGTACGTATACACTCGGTCGGAGGTTTTTTTTCTTTTCTTTTTTTTTTTTTTTTTTATTTTAACTCCCTTTTGCGCCAATGCGAAATGCGAAGGGATCCGGCGGCGGCCGGGGACCCTTTCCGCCGCCGCGAATATCGCGCGTGCGCTCGGTCGGCGGACGGCGAGCGACGGGAGAGAGTGCGAGAGAGCCGCCCCGACCCCCCGCGCTACCCCTTCGGCCTTCGCCGCCGCCGCCGGTCGGGTCGCCCTCCTGTTTTCCATATGTAATCTTAACGAGGCTACTTTCTCGCGCCGCGCCGCGCGCAGATGCCATCCCTTCGGCCGGGCGCGGACCGCGTGTGCGTGTGTGCGCGCCGCGCGTATGTATAAAATTCACCGTACGAGTCGCGGCGCGCACGCACACACGACCGCGCGACCAGAATATATTCGCCGTACGACGGCGCGCGCGGGACACGGCGGCGACGGCGGCGGCGACGGCGGCTGCACGGTGACGCGCGGCATGGCGGCGGCGGGGGCGGAGGCGGTGTGACGGTATTGTATACTCGTATATACAATTATGTATGTGTGCGTGTGTGTGTGTGTGTGTGTGTGTATGCGTATGTATGTGCGTGCGCCGACGCGCGCTCTCGTGAGCATACATATATATATATATATTGTACATATATATATATATATGTGCGCGCGATAATAATATATACGAGTGCGTGGTGATGAGAGCGCGCGGAGAGAGGAAAAAACGGTAAGAATAAGATGAAATATTCGCCGAGCCAAAAAAAAAAAAAAAAAAAAACCCATTTCGGTATACCTATACGTATTATTACTGTGCATACGTACTCCTATGTACGTATACGGCGTGCCAGCGGCTTATTATTTGTTCGCCCGCCGGTGGGAGTGAAACGGGAAAAGTGGAGGGGCGGTCGCATCTTCTCCCGGTTAATTATTTACCACCCCTTGCATATACTCGCGTATATTTTTACAAGAAAATAACGGATTGCTCGCGAGCGGACTTCATCGAATCGTATCGATGTGTATAGGATATGCAAAACGTTCCGTACGTTCCCCGAACAAATCGTAATTATAATTAATATTTCAGTTGAAATTTTTTAAAAATCATAAATTTTAAATAACACAAATCAAGGTGACGAAATGTTGTACATTATCATGCATGACATTAATTGTGCCTTTTGAGTGTTTCAACTTTCAAGTCCCTCTCAATTCAACGATTTTCAAGCTCGAATTTTATCTTTAATTTTTTTCGTGAAAGTACAGTTTTAGTATTTTTTTTTTTTGTATTATTTTAGTAACCGTTTATTTATTGTTTTACCAAGAATATTTCTATAATTCGAAAAATAGGTGAGATGGAAATACTACTCTCGTGACGGAGCTGTGCTGCTCACGGTTGTTTTTTTCTTCTTGTTGCGATTAAATTGTATTATTTATTTTTTTTTTTATATATATATATATAGGTTCTCTAACATATGTAGTATGCGTATAAAGCTATATCGAATTTAAAATATTAATTATTACCAAATTTATCGAAGTATTTTACATCAATACTTTAATACATACTCGTATAACGAAAAATTGAAAAAAAAAAATAATAATATTCGAAGATTTCTCGGGTACGTATTAGTTTTTAATACTACCGTGTATAAAGTGTTTTATTCGTTTATGACGTTTGTGTACTTCCGTTTTTTAATCCAGGACAAACGTAATATAAAATATAGAAAATTATCTGTTCTATACATTATAGTTTTCCCATTTCAACAGCAAGACATAATATAATAAAACGAACGTTAATAATATTGATAAACGAATACTATCGTATAGTCGTCGTTTTATAATATTTTATTATAAAAACTATTTTAATTTATACGATGGCTATAAAATATATAATTTGAAAAATTACGCAAAGTTAAATGTAATATATTCTTAACACGCATGCAATTTAAATATGATATTACGTCGTTTTATGCATGATCGCAGTGCATATCGCTTCGTGGAGTTTTATCATTTATCCGCGCGCGTGTTACCGTAGTTATTCATTTGGAATACCGCTGCGGATAAAATATATATGCGAATATACACACTGATATTTTATACGTTTTTCGCATAGTTATATCTCATAATATTCGGTTGGCGGCATAACGTTTTTATTTTTAAAAAAATAAGGTCGTATGACGGGCGCAGTAGAGATTATGGAGGTAATTTCACCAACCCCCCTCTCCTCATCATCATCATTACCATCAATAGATTAAAAATAAAACAATTTGCTACATACATACATGAGTATTGATTTAGTGTAATTTAATCTTGAGATTTACTTGTATGCGTCAGCCATAGGTGGAATAATACGATGTAGTACACGATATCGTACATATTATATCGTACATTTTAATATTACTCATCTAGGTATATTACATTTTGTCATATCGTACCGTGTTATTGTCCGCAGTGTATTGTATTAAATGTCAATTAGATTTAAATTGTTAGTAAATGTTTAAACAAATAACATTTAAATTTAGCATGACGTAATAATTAATTATATGCATTATCAAATGTATAATATTGACTGACCGGATGACAATGCACACACACTCCCACTATCTCTCTTCCCCGTATGTACTTCCTGCACCAACTCCTTGGTCTGAGAGCCTTTTCTCGTTTCCATAATACGCGTTACGTCTTCTCGAGTAGGTCTTGCTCCTCGTCAAAAAAATCAAAATAATTGCTCAATGATGTTCAGTGTTAATTCTTACACTTCCCTTCTACACGTCATTATTATCAACAATCGTAAATATATCTACTCGTGTTCTACGTGAACACCGCTACTGAAGAAATTCTGCGCAGGACAGGTAAAAACCTCATTACTTATTATAAATATTACACATCATATTTTTCCTACTATTGTAGAAGGTAATTAGTAATTTAAGTGATTAGTGGGGTTCAGTATTCAATCATTTCATACTCCACTTTTCCCCTTTGTGATTCATTTATCACATTAGTAAAAACTCGATTTATTGAATAAAAATTGGTCTTGTATTGGATCTGTGACTTTTAAATTTCCATTTTCGGGTGAAGTATACATATTATATAAAAGAAGATTCTTTAAAATGTATTCGTACAAACTACTACAAACTATTTATCTTATATATATATAAAATCGCATAGAAAATGTCTGGACACTTCACTATATAAAACTTTATGATACGATTAAATTTAGACGTTTGTGAAAAAAAAAACCCATCGTATCCTACAATTTAACCTAGAGAGACTGGATAACAAGAGAGTAGAATGTTACTATTGGTTACTATTGTTCTATTGGTCAGTGATTATTACTGATTATAAACGTAATTTATCGGTATTAATATGTATTATACGCATATTATATTACCCATCTTTAAATATTATCCATATTTATTAATGGTTCAAATAATGGAAGAACTTAGGAAAAGGTAAATATAGGAGTATTTATATGATGCGCATATGCATGCATATTTTATATTTATAATTGTAATAACATACAAAGCAAATTATAATAATTTTATAAGAATTGAGTTTCAAACATAAAAAAATGCGGGATATTATCTAATTTGGTTAGCTACTGTTTTGTTCTCTATAAGCTATTTACTTAAAACTTAAAGAAAATTACGATATGAAAATTATTTTTACACAAAATCCTAGAAATGTCACAATATATAAATTTTGATTAGGCACGTGATACCTGAAATAATTGGCATCATAACGTCAATAATTATTGTTCAATGCGTTCAGTTGTATATTGGAGTATCGTATATAATTTGTAATTATTATAACTATTGGGTGCGGATTATAATGTAAATTGCATTATTTTTCTAAATGTCCTAAAACAATGCTTTCCAAAACACAAAATTAATTTCATATATCAAAGAATTAAAATATGAAACTTTTATTCTGCATTTTTAGAACTTTTTTTATTTTTAAAGCATTTTTTTTTTACATTTTAAGTGCATTTTTAGGTTTTAAGGCATTTTTTTTCTTCTTTTTACAAACTTCATAGTGTTATAAGAAAATTTGATAAAATTTATTTTGGTTTCCTCCTAAAAGAAAAAAAATTATATTTCTATTTTTAAAATGTACTAGGTATAGATTTACCGATTAATACGATAATATAAATACGATGCCAGCTGCTATAAAAAAAAAAAAAAAACGATAAGTTAGTTATCGAATTGCCATGTAGTCGTATGCACTATTTGCACTGTTGTATTTTTATACCTAATAGAAAATATTTTTTTCAACGTTTAAAATAATTTTTAATCTTTTTTCTAATTTCATTGCATTAAATTGTATTTTTTTAAAACATTAGTCTTGTTATTTTAGGGTATTTAAATCCGCACCCTAATTACAACCTTACCATATAATACCTAATAATACCCATAAAGTTGCAAAAATCGAGTTTATAATATAAGTGCGACTTTTGTCGATACAAGTGTACAAAGTAGAAAAACGTGAAAACTGGCTTTTCAACGCTTACGCGCGGGCGGCCGTTAAAATATGTTAGGTACGAGCGTATTGTATATTATGAACATCGTTGTCAAATGTTCTTTTTTCTTATTATTTTTTTTTTTTGCAATTATTCTTTTGAACGTCTGTGTTTGAAAAATCGTGTTTGTTGTTCGCAATTACGCGCGGGGACGGCAATCTCATTAACGTGTGCCGAGACAAAATGAAAAATGTCCGCCCACGGCTGTTTAATTGGCAGTAATTTGTCATCGGGTTGTTTCGGAAAACGGTTCTCGCAAAAGTTATCCCGTATATATTAGATATATATATATACAATACATTTTCCGAAGGAGGGAAAGCGAAAAAAATAAAGAATATATATTATAAAAACGGAACGTTGATTGATTACCTGCTCGTTAAAAAGTATACACCAACATTAATTAAGACGAATATCGTTACGCTTCTCGACTTTTGAGAACTACTTCCCCCTCCCTCGGCGCCCGTTCCGCCGCCGTCGACGAGTAAAAATTTATGATTTTTTTTCGCTACTCGAAACTTTTCTTTTCTTCTTTTTTTTTTTATTTTACGATTATTATTCCGAACGAAATTAATGACTCAAAATTAATAACCGTCGCCCGTGCGCGGAGCACGGAAAAAAAAAAAAAAACTTCCAACTTTTATTATTATTATTTGGATGCGGTTACCGCCACTCGACTATAAAACTAAAGTCGCTCGAGAGTTCTTAATTTTTCGTCATCCCGTACAACTTTAATATTCATTAAAAAAAAAAAAAAAAAAACAAGCGGCCCGGGTCGAGAAACGAGTGGATTCTTCCACTCGCCCACGAACAAACTCGTGTAAAATGAATAAGGAGACCGGGGAAGTTAATGAGATTTTTAAATTAGATTTTTATTTTTTTTTTTCGCTCTTCTTCTCCGCCGCGTATTTCGCCTGACCGGGAAAATTATGGTGGTAATTTTCTCCGCTCTATACGACAAGAGGGCGCGGCGGTGTAGTTAGTGTATATCTTTTCAAATGTAGTTTTTTTTTTTTACTTTTTTTTTTTTTCGTATCCTCGATCCATTCGTCCACTATACGTGTATATATATATATACCGTTCCCCGAACAGAGATAATCGAAATTTTATTGTTCGGAAAGATAACGAGGGTGTTTTCGCAAGTAGATGCACCGTCGTCGCCACCGTCGTTGCAGTATAGATATTATAAGATGCAGACATAAATGTAATTTAGTAGGTAATAACAAAGATTTTAATGCATGATAGACAAAAAACCGTAGTTTATCACAATATTAATTGCATCATACTCGTATTCTCACTCAGAGTTTTCGCCGTCCTACACACTACGCATTTAAAACGTCTTAACAATTATAATGTGTCAAATTATTATAAAATTTTTCGACATAAATTACACGGTTTAAAATTTAAAGCAAAGATAAAATACGATTTTGCAACTAACCAAATCGATTTTTATTGTAAATGTTATTAGAAAAATGTCACGTTGAAATTATAATAGTCAGGTTGACTTATTGTGTTATCTTGATCCGACGATTTTCCTTGAAGATTTCAAGTAGATAACTGTAAATTTGATTTCAGTATTTATTGTGGTGGAATTCCGGTTTACCTAAACTTTATTGGAACACTATTCACAACAATATTTTTACTCCTCCTTCTATCCTAACCCAACAGTTTATCCTTAAATAAGTATTCACTTTCGATTTTCAAACGGCGGCCTCCCACCCTTTTTAACATTGATTCAAAAAAATAATAGTTAAAAAAACCGTTGATAGGTAATAATATGCAGACTATTATGAGTTTGGATAACTTATAAATCCAATTTTAGTGTTGTTATACAAATCGAAATATTAAGTCAACAAAATCGTATACAAATAAATATTCAAAACTGTCGAATCGCGATTAATACATCGCGATATAAAGTGAATTTTTGTTTTATTATACATTTATTGTGGCGGTTTATATATGTTTTTAGGTATTTGAATGTTATTTTTTATTTTATTATTATTTTTTTTTTTTTATTGCGTTTCGGAACATTTTTACTTCTAAACAAACAATGTTCAACTTAATTTCCAAATCGGATTAGAAAAATCAAATAAACTGCACGTCGTTATTGAAAATAATTTATAATACGACTGTATTTAAACTTCCATTTTACGATATTGATATAATACATTTCGAATTTACTAAACGTTTTGTATATATGTATTTTATGTATAATCTGGGAACCCGTCATAATGTCCTAACCGTATAATATAAAGAGTTATACTATCGTTTGAATCGTTAAACTCTTCAAAGTAAACGATCCGTTCCTAATGTTTGTATATTATTATGTGCAGTTCTTCTTACCGCAAGCAGTTTACGTAAGTATTTTTTACGATTGTTATTATTATTATATTGTATACTTGTTTATCGCATATATAAACGAATAGTCTGCATACACGCGCGCACTTCGTAAAAAAAAAAAAAAAAACAATAAAAAAAGAATAAAAATACATAAATGCAGTCTGGATGCACCGTACGGACATAATGCTTGCATATGTATATTATATATGGTATTATAGTTAATATACTATAGGTAATTCGTGGGCGAAAATAGGGGGCTCGGGAAATGCACGGCTCCCCTCGAAAAACATAACCAATCTCCCTCCGCCAAAATCAAGTAAATATACTGAGTATACTATACAAAATCAATATGACGGGGTCACATATTGTATTATAATTAAAAACGATTCTATTCGAGAAAGAAAAAGGCAGTTATTGAATATACGCTTTTTGTTTTGCGCATTATACATATTATTATTTATACTTTTTGAAATGCGTATTTTGTTTTTTTTTTTTTATGTTTTCAAACATTATTACACTATTAAAAGATATATCCGTCTTATTTTACCAGCCCGCCCACTTAAATTTCGGTGGGGGAACCGTGGGTCCTCAAAAACATTGTCGACACGCCACAGGACCTCTCTGAATTTTTATCCGCGGTCGCCATAGCGTGTGTATTACCTACTCATATAACATAAATTTATATTATATATGTAGCACTCATTGATTTTTTTTAATTTTAACCAAACTATATAATATACTATTTTAGCATACAGCTGTATATTAAATGTATGTATTCAAAATTCGTTAGCTATACATAATAATATATTTATAAGTTTACGATCCGTATACACCGAGTTACGAAATCGCTAATATACGTTTTCATGCCAAGTCAATATCGAAATATTAAGTATATTAAATTATACATATATGCATGCATATTTTATAAGTATAGCTACAACAGATATGTACGCGTAACAATATAGTCGGTTCGGCGTGTTTGTCAATGACTAAAAGGCGGATGTATACATGTATAAAATGTTTCCGGCTTTTTTTTTTTTCTTTTAAATTATCCAACGGCTCGCATTCGCAAGACGAGCAGTCGCCTCGCACAATATACCTGTACATAATATATACGTATGTGAAAATTGTAAAACTTTTATATTATACATTCTTTGTTCGTATGAAAAAAATAATATATTTATATTCCTACAATTTCGTTACAATAATTCGGACGAACTATTTTCCACGTGTGGCGCTCTAAGATGTGACGCACCCCTGTCACCACCTTCAAATATGTACCTATACTCACGAAACGCAAACGTGAACCATAAATACAGAAAGAGCGGGTTATATCATACCTGTATTATTATTATTATTATTATTATTAACAAAGCTCGGAAGTTATAGTAAGTAAAAAAAGCAATATATGCACGAAAAAAATTGCAAAATATATACGAAAAAATGTTAATTATACAAAAAATTATTCAAAGTTTATTACTAAAAAATATACAATTATCATTATTGATATGAACACAAAAGATAAAGATTACCTAAATGTGAATCGTACCGTTGCCGTTAAATTAATAGTAGACTGAGACGATAAGAAATAACAATAATAAATAACTACGTTAAATAATATTGAGTTTTATATTCAATATCATTAAAAAATACATTGGTTAAGAAAGAAAAAAGAACATTGTTTTTTTTTTTTTAACGCATATTAATTATAATTAAAACATTCAAAGTAAACCCAATAGATTCCTCGCTATGTTTCGAATCTAAAACGAAAATTACAATAAGATCATTAATATAATTACTATACGAAATTAGTTGGATTTATTACATAAGTGATTTTTTTTTTTTTTTCACTCGGTCACCTATACTGTTGCAGTTGGTTGGTTTAGTTGTTTCACTGTATATTGCGTCTATGGTTTTCGTCCGCACAATCGATTATCAATTTCCGTTTGTCACCGGAATACGAAACTGTCATTTTGAAAACTTTACATTTCTCGCGAACGTATTGACATACACAACCGTCCGTATAACGGTCATATAATCCGCTAGAGCGGCGGAAATTTCGATTCCAACTTGTTAGCTCGACGCTAATTTCTCGAAGGTTTTTATTGTTGAACGTAATTTGTCAGCCATCACTTTCCCGGTTATCACTTCCGGTACGTGCGGTTTAGAGACGCCCGGCCGTCTGGTTTTTCGCTGCTTCGATTTACATTGATCGCCTCCGAGTTCTAATCGACAATCGTTCGAATTTCAGGAATCTAGAAAGGTCAAATTCCACGCCACCGTCTTCTTTACGTTGCGTCTCGACTGTCCCGCTAATTCAATGGCTTTTTGTCGAAACCGACAATATCGCTTTGGTTTTACACGAGCGATACCCGGGATTTTTTCCAATTGAAATTAAAATAATATACGATTTGTAACATTCAGTTTGCTAAGATATAGCTCGTTGAAAATGTGCCCGTAAACTTAAATTTAAACTCACGCAACACTAATCGAAAATGCTATGCAGAACGGTTTGAACGGATATTTATTGTCAACAGTGTTTTAACACCATCATGGAGTTACAACAATAACCGTATTAGAACGTTCGGAGATTTTACACTATTATTTTAAGCTTAAATATAACCTTGAGCTATAAAACATCAGTTTACATTCCAAGTATATGGCAATAAAATACTTAAACGTCGATTTTGAAATGATGGATTTTTTGAAACTTTTAGAAATTGTTATTATCGTCGTAAAAATGAAATTGAACACCGACGTAGGTCGCACTTGTCAGATTTTAAAGTTTTTCCATTTGTTTGTAGTTTTCTTTATAATAGGTGACGATAGAACCGTTATTTTCGTAAAATTTCCCGGTTTTACCAATTATTGAAAGGAAATCACTTGAAAAATCGGGCAATAATATTCTCAACGCAGCGGCCAGACTTGAAACTCTACACTTAAAAGCGCTTTTGTCATTTTTCGATTGGAGCGAGATTTCTGGCAGAAAAGTTGGACGAAGAATAATGTGCGAATGTATAATGTGGAAGACATCGCGAAACACAGGTGTGATCGTATCGCTGGTGGATCTGTAAACAGTTTAGCTCAGTGTTTGAATTTAACACTTTGCAATGTTCAATTTTCGTTAAATACCGACGGGCCGCTGCGCACGTAACCGGCGGTTTCGAACCGTCCGTCCTCCGTAGCAGCTTTGATAAACAAAACCGTGACAAAAATAATAATACGTACGTGGCTCGAGTCGAAAAAAAAAAATTAAAAACCCCCTACAAATACACAACGCGATACACGAGTGCGTCTGTTAAGATACGCGTCGCGATAATGTTGTTCTGCGTACCCGTCTGCGGGATTTTCGTGTGTACTTGACAATAATGCTCGTGCACTCGTATAACGCAGGATGGTGTTTACGACGATCTTGTAAAAATATCGAAACCGTACACGGCGCGCGCGTATTAGGTCCATTAGGTATGCATAAAACATTATGGCTGGACGGGCGCGGTGAGGGGGAAAAAGGACGCGGGCGGCGGTTCGGGCAGGGGCGAAGGGTTACGGAAAAGAAAAAGGCTATAGGGCCCGGCGCGGCGGCGGCGCGGTTGAACGAGGGACGACGGCGGCGGCGGGCGAAATGCCGAATGTAAAAGTACGATAAGCGGTACGGCGGCGGCGGCGGCGGCGGCGGGTGCCCGTCGGCGCTTTAATGCGGAGGAGCGTCATTTGTAGGGCCGTCCCGGTGCGCGCTTGCATTGGTCCTCCATCAAAAGACGAGACCCGCGCCATGTTGCCCGCAATTATACACACACGCGCGCACGCGGCCGTGCCGACGATGACGGCGGCGGCGGCGGCGGAATCTTCGCCTCCGCCCGCCCCACCCGCCGCCGGCCGGTAGGCGCGCGCACGCACCGTGCAGGCGGTGGCGGCGGCGGCGGCGGCGGGCACAACACGTCCGACACACACGTATAATAATAATAATAATAATAATAATAATAATATACGCGGGCGCGCGGCGTGCGATGCGTGTGGGCGCCCGCGGTGATGGCCGCGGGAGAAAAATAAAAAAAAAAAAAAAAGGGGTCGATCGACGTCCCGCGGACGGGGAGAGGAGTGAGTGGGGGGGGTGAGAAATACGAAAATATCATCACGCGATATTATCATTATCGTATTACGCGTCTCGGACATTCGCCGGGGCGCCGGTTCGACCGCCGCGAATCGTGTTCCGTGGGTACCGGATGAATGAAAACCGGCGCGGTGCCGTGTCGCGCGCAAATATTATCGCCCGTGATAATCGCGTACGATTCGCGGCGTTTTCGTGTGCCCCGTCGGCCGCGTCCGAGTGCGTACGAGTGCGAGCGGCGGCGCACACCGGGCGGGAGGAGGAGGCGAAGGGAACGAACGCGGGCCGTAAACGCGCGCGTTGTTGTCTTATACAACGATCCAAAGTAATTATCATTTTGAATTTTTGCCCTTTTTTTTTTTTTTTTTCCTACACGAAGTGCTTGTAGCGCCTAACGCGACGGCACGATCAAATCCACAGGTTACGCATTGAAATATTTTCGCTATCCGCGGTCGAACCGGGTACATTTTTCCGGTACTATCATTTCGTTTTTGGCGGTCCGACCGTCGTCTATCGTTATCGTCGATCTGTGTGCTTGTGCGTCACTCGCGTAACTCGACGAAAACGCAACGGGGCGCAACTCGTTCGCGGCCCGTTTCGCCCGGTGAAAATAGAATATACACGGTTAAACGTATTTTTAAAATTTTTTTTTTTTTTTATTATTATAAAACATGCGTCTCGGTGAAATGACGCCGAGTCTCCAGCTCGTGTAATAACAAGGTTGCAGGTGGTTCTCGAATATTAGCGAGTAGACAAGTCGATACTGTGCACGACCATACGTACCTATTTCGCATATCATGTTTGCCATAAATATATTAGCGAAAACTACCAAACTATAACTAATACTAAAACGCAGAATATGGCAATATAGGCAATATATAATGAATTATTGTTAGGGTCATTCAAATTTTCCACGAAATACTTATTTTAAAAAATAAAAAAAAAAAACGCCGTATAAAAGTTAGTGATTAGGTTATTGCTTGGATATTTAAAAATTGGTTTTTTTTTTTTTTATTATTTAACGGAATTTCGAACCCTATAACACATATTGTATTATACCGACCCTAGGCACAAATAGTGAAAATGAATTTGTAAATACAAATCGATTTTTGCACGTTTACTTTTTGGACGATAATGTCTACGGTTAAAACGCGAAATTATTTCGTGTTTGACGTGTGGTGGGTTGTAAAGACAATAACCATCAGTACATGACATACATCTTATCGTCGATATATTATCTTATCGTTTTAATCATAATGGAAAAAACAAATTTTCCCGAGTTTTTTCACGATTTTAACGCGAAATGTTTTTTTTTTCTTTCTTAAGAACATCGTAATATTTTAAATAATTCGGCCCTGCGTATCGATATGGAATAAATCTAAAAAAAAAAAAAACCAGCCCTTGATGTTGATATTGTTGGCTAACACCAATTTATGTATGTATAAGGTATATAATGTATCAATATATAGAGTTACTACATAATATATATTTTATATATTTATAGCCCGCGGGTACAATAATTTGTATAATATTACGACGACGCGTGCACGGGCGAATTTCGCGTCACGCTCGAGAATCGCGAGATCGCATTTAATGACAGACCGAAATCGCATTTGCAGACATCGCCCGCGGGCGTATAGCGAATAACGAGTTGGGTTTTTTTTTTTTTTATTTTAATTCCGTACGCGTCATATATTTTTTACGTGCCTTAACATTTTTTTTTTTTCTATCTCTCGCACGGATACACGTACGGGAAAATTTCTCCGTAAAATGGAACACAATCACACTGGAATCCAGACAATTTTTCTGGGGGGGGGAGGAGCATTACTTAAGTTATATTAATGACCTTTTAATTAATTTGATTTCCATTTGATTGTCATGCGCCTGGATTTAACACTGAACACTACCTCTAGGTAATATACCGTATAATACGTACAACTGTAGCCGTTGATTCCGGTAGTGTTCAAGTCGAATTTTTTGAGAGTATACTACACAGATAACATATCGATTATACAAATATTAAATTATAATTTACCGACATAAAATACTTAACATTGTAAAAAAAAAAAAAACAATAATCAATTATAATCGTAAGAAAAGTTAAATTGTGTATTTTTTAGTTATAATGCTACTGAAATAAATGGATACGATTTATATTACTATGACGGTTTTAGTGGCATACTTAGTGTTATGTATGAACGGACGTGCAACGGCAATAATACAACGGATTTTATTATTATTTTTTTTTTTTTTTTTTAAAAAACTATTCAAGGATATACGATGTATGCACTGGACTATGCACCTATGAACACCATGCATTGGACTATAGCCGACACGGCGGTATCCTTTTCGCAGGCGCGTATCCAGGTACCTGTTAAGCAGGGACAGTGTGATGGTACCTATAAATAATTGACTTTTACCGTTCGTTAAACGGAAAAAAAAACCAAACGAACATCGTGCATTATATGTCATACATCGAAATGATGTATTATTTATATGCTCTATATATTGTACATTTTTTTTTCTTCCCTAAATGACTTTTACGACTATATTGCTTCTCTTCCATACTATAAAATGCCAGCGAATGAGATTCGGTTATATATAATACATATATAAATACAATTTAAATTCGAATATTCGAGATAATGTATTTCGTCGAGACCAGAATAAATGTTAATGGTTCCCGTTTGCGAATTATAGGCCATCGTCAGCAGCCACCGTACTTTATGTCCGAGTTTTACGGTCAAATATGCCCCGACGTCATTTATTGCGTGTATACGATAATGGACTGCGGAAAGCTCACAGTGGACCGAATAATTGAGGTACTATTTCTTTTTAGATAAACTTTTAGAGTCGTAAAGATTTTTTATTGTACAAACGTATATATGGATATAGTATACGTATTACGTCATATATTATATTTGTAACTAATGCGACGGAATCTCGTCGTCGCAATAAATTTAACTATAATTCACGAGAGTGGGAAAAACAGCTAGGGACAGTGGTGAAAGAAAAACAAAACGATAAGCATATTATATTATGTGTTCAACTGATATTATATAGCAAATACGCTCTTTACACATATTGACGTGTATTTATAAAAATAGAGACGATCATTTTTTTTTAAATTTTTTTTTTCTTGATCTTACACGTTTACGACAAAAAATTCGTGTAAATACACGTAATATACGATATGTTGCCTTTAGTTTTCGATTTAAAAAAATTTTTTTTTTCATTATTTATAAACGATACGGGAAATGACGAAAAAATCGGTATAGTTTTATTGAAATTTTCGCATGAAAAAGTAGTTTTTTTTTTTAAACATATATAACCTATAATATTATATAGATAGTTTATGATATGAATATCATACTTAAAACGTCGAAAAACGATTGACGGTTTACGACGCGTTTAAAGCAATTTATATAAACCGTGCGGAAACACGTCATTTTTTTTATTGCGCACTAATAAAATCGATCGAAACTTGCGTAATTGACCGCCAATATATACAATATATATTTATAAAGATCGCTTGCAAATTTCGATTGTCCAGGTCAAATATGAATCAGATTCGAATATGTTTTGAATAATTTTAAGGGCTCGACGGCATTTACTTAAGTACCTGTACGGCCATATTGGGAATATGTAGAAAAACGTTTCAAACAAAGCACATAGGTGCATCTGCACCGGACATGAAATCCGCATCTTTTTGGCTGGGTCGCATAAACGTTCATTAGCGATTTACTGCAAAGCCTTTAACTCACTACTGGACCGTTAAAAATAATTATTTTTAACAGGTTTTGCTTGAACGTTCGTTAGCGTTAACATACGGTGATAAGAATTATAATTTCTTTCTAAAATTATTCTATTTTCAATTTTTGGATTATTTTATTGTACAGCTTTGTTATTTTCTCCCACGACTGTTTTTTTTTTTTGACAATTATTGTAATCAAATAAAATATGGTATAATTTATCTGGTAACAAATGTTATCAATAAAATACAAATCTTTTATGCGACTCAATTTTTTTTTTTACAAACCAAAAGTAAAAGTAAAGTCACAAACTGATCTTTATTCAACCCGCTCTTAAAGCATACATTGTTATACTATATTATAGGCCGTACTTAGGGAATATATGCAACACGCTGTATGATCAATGCATAATAAATTCAAACACTAAAAATAACATAAAATACAATTTTTTTTTAAGGAACCCGAAAAATGTCTTACGCAATGTCGTCCGGAGTCCAAGGCGTTCCTATTCCCTTATTTTATAAAGGATCAATAACATAACCAACTTCTTGATCACTTTACCAAAAAAAAAAACTGTTTCTTAATGATAATTTAATACTACTACTATCGTTGACATTTCGCATCGCACAACAACGTGGTGTGTATACGTTTCGGAGCATTTATTATTGCTGATTAAAAAAATTGCACCTACATTATATCGTTTTTTGTTAGATCGCGTTAAATAGATATAATTAAACGCACGTTTTTATCGTGAGTTTTTAAATTTAGGATGCAAACGACAGTTCGTGCACAATATGAATAGGCTATGCATAACTGGTCCAAGCGACATTTGTAGGTACTAAACGTGCCTGCAATATTGTAAGATAATATATGAGGACGAAAATGTCATTTGAGCTCTTTTGTCTGAAAAACCTCTTTATTTCACTCTCTCGAAAACCTATAAAAATTTCACTGGAAACACCGTTTAAAATAGTCGCTGAGTCAGATATACTCACGCAAGTAATACGTATACAGATGTATAATAGTATAAAAAACGTTTTTCAAGTTCGCGAAACCTTCAGGCTACGCGCGAACAATAACTGCAGATATTTTTAACTACAGGTGTATGTGTGCGGCACACACTAAAATATATATACCGTTAAATAAAATGACACGGACACGACGAATAAACGAAAGACACGTGTATACGGTCGAAAAAAAGTTGTTTTTTTTTTTTTTGTTATTCGCAAAACGCTCCCCCCTCCGCCCGAAACTATTGCTTACTACCACCAGTGTTTTTACCGAGTATAGAAATAACATTATTACACCCGTTAAACTCTATACAACCGTATACAACATAGACGGGGGTTGTTTTTTTTTTTTCTTCAAACCGATATAGGTAGCGAATTTTTTTTAAACAATTTTCATCGCGCCCGAACTATCCCCCGCGCTCGGAACTTGAGTCACGTTTAGAACACGTTAACAAAAATCAAAAGAGAAAAATAAAATATTAGAGTGCATACATATAAATATATCGATTCCTTTCGCTTTTGATTTTCTTTTGAAATTTGACCCGATAGCCCGCCCGTCCGCCGTCGCCGTTTGTTATTGTTTCTTTTCCTTATATACTATATAGAGAGTATTATTATATTATTATTATTATTATATAGCCCTTCGGGATCTTTACGCCGTAACCGTTCTCATTAAAATCAAAAGTGTGTAGAGTATATATAACGGGAAGAAAAAAAAAAGAAAAGAAAAGAAAAAAATCTCTCCAGTAGTCACTGATCCAGCTTGTTCTCTTACTCTTTTGTTCTCCGGGCGCGCGCAATGACTCCCTTTCATAACAAAACTAAAAAAAAAAAAAAAAAAAAAGGCGTCATCCGAAAGCTCTCTTTTCAGACGCGTTATCGACCCGCGCCGAAAAAAAAAATAATAATAATAATAATAATAATAAAATAAAATAAACTCTCGAGAAGAAGGATAAGAAGAAAAAAAAACACCATTTCAATTGCCTTCGTTTCCATAAACAGTTTTGAGGGAAAAAGTGTATATACATATATATATGTAGAAATAAGTATATGTGTGTATGTATATCTATTCTCGGGGTATACATCATTATTATTATTACTACGACGGAAACGTCATGACGGGGAGCAAAAAAAAACGCGTAGTTTATTTTGTTATATACGTGTGTGTGCGAGCGTGTTGATAAATATTCGTCGATTTACCGAGACGTTTCCCAAATCTAATAAGACTCTCGCACGGGGTATACCTTATATAGGTATATTATTATAATATCCTCGCGTTCGTGTTAACATTTTTATTCGGTTTAAATTCAAAAAAAAAAAATAAAAAAAACACCTCGGAATCGAGCTTTTCGCTTCCAATTCACGCCACCCGACCGTTTCGCTAACGATGTTATAATATTATATAGCGTCGTGCAAAAACATCACCGTTCCTAGAGCACATTCGTAAGCGGCAAATAATGCGAACGATAACCTAACCCAACGTTTGAAACATTTGTACGGTTGAAACTCGTCACTATCTATGAAACAGAGATAGAAAAAAACGATGATCAGCAGAGCTTCGAAACTGTAGAGTACCTAGTTGAATTTTCCTACCGCCTTTTACATTGTTACCGAAATATTCTTCGCAAAATAATAAATCTGCTAACACTATAATAATACAATACTATATTTTCAAAAAAATATAGTTTAGGGTGGCCGTTGAAATTTAAAACATCCAAAAGGCACACTTTTAATAATAGCGTTATGCATTTTGAAAATTCTGGCTTCATTTAGGGCGTCTTTATTAAGAGTGCTGGAATATATAAAATTACTCTCTTCCCGCAAGAAAATGGTGAAATTCATATTAAAATTTAATAAAACTTTTAACACTCAGTCAGTGGCGTGCATAGGATTGAGGGGAATTATATGCCCCCACATAGGCATAAAAAAAAAAAAGTAATCTTACATTAAAATCCATATATTTTAGCCAAGTTACGAAGAAAAGTTTGATTTATAAAGCTTTATATTGATTATAAATTGGCGTTTCTTCGGAATCCAGCTTTTAAATTACCAATTCTCATAGTTAAGTTAAGATTTTACAATGTAATCACGATTCTTATTTGTTACATCCTCTCCCGTTTAAAATTCCTGGGCACGCCACTGCGCTCTACAATTTGAATTGGAAAATAGAACAACAAAATAGCAATAACGACTTATTTAATTGTTTAAATATGAATGATTATAATAACACGCAATGGCGTACCCCGGAAAAGAGGGAGGGCTTTAGGAGGCTTTACGCGCCGTTAAGCAAACGAATACGCTGAATTTCTCTATAATGAAACGTTTGAAACATTTGTCCTTTATGCGAATTTGCTCCAAGCGCCGATGTTAGTGCGACGTAATTAAATTGGTTGTTTTTTTTCTGTTTACAAGTTTATTTCCCGCCCTTCCCCGATCAAATTATTCCATTAATTACGAATTCTTACGAAGCAAAAAAAGAAAAAAATACCCTCGCCGACGCCACGGCCGCCATAGCGCCGTTCGTAATTGGACCGTTTTTTTTTTTTTTTTTATTTCGGAACTAAAAGTTTTAACGAGGAAAAATAAATTAAGAAACGACTACGGTGGCGGCAGCGGTGGCATTAATTTCTTGATTTTTCGAGTGGCGCACCGACACTGCAATAAGAGGGGAGAACTCGAGTATTTTTTTTCTTATTTTTTTTTAATTAATATTACAAGGGTGTTTTTATCCTTATTACTGTACATTAATCTGCGTCTCGCAGACATTAAGCGTTTTTAATCCTACACGATGACGACGCCTCGTTCATTTATCATCCTGCAGAGCAGATAAAGTCAAACTTCTACTCGTCGTCGCCAGGGTCCCTCTCATCCCAACCCTCTCCGCGCACACCGTCAACACGACCATTATATTATATCCATAAAAGGCGGATATAGACGATATAGTAAAATCCGTTTCATACGACTTTATAATTCTAGTATAAAATGTAATCAACTATACGTATACCGAGTACATGTATAATTTTAAGTACCGTGCAAGGCATTTTTTAGGGAGTTCTCTTTGTCCAAATAGACACACAGTGAAGTCTAATGGACACTCACATCCGGTAAAGTAAAATTTCACTTAGATATTATACGTCGTTCAGATATAAACGGTAAATGATACGAATTAGTAAATTTTGTAACACAATATTTTATTTTATTTAGGAAATTCTCTCACCGGTGGTAATATTACTATTGTAACTAGTTTACAACCATTGTTGGTGATGCGTAATTGTCTCAAGTTGTATATAATTATTAAAATTATATTATAGTTCAATGAAATAATTTGTATTTATAGTAAATGGTTTTTACCAGATTATTTCGTAATATTTTTGAAGAGCAATGTAAAAAATCTCCAAAACATATTATTACTACCTATTATTAGATCATAACCGACATAATGGAAAGAAGAACCGAAGGACGCGAAGGAAGAGGAAGTCCAAGGAAGGACATTCATCATAAGAGAGATGATCGAATTGGCTCGATGAAACGATGTATATTCACATGTTATAAATAGACTCTGGCATTAAATAGAGAGGAATAAAAGTCTATATTCGGTATACGGACTATAGGGATAGCTTTTAGCGAAATAAGAAGAAGAATAAATATTCAATGTGTCGGTGAATGATGGTGATTATACCGTTCTTAAAAATTTACATTGGCTAAAGGAGAAACCACCCTTCCCTGCTCAAAAACAGCCGGTGTACTATAATAATGTAGCTTACGTAGCTTATCATAATATGCAATGTAAATATTATCGCAGGGATGAAAACTATCTAAAACAGTGGAGCTCGCCAACGGACTGAAGAAATATACCCGTCCCTGTTTGTCACAGGTTTCCGTTTTACAAAGTTTATTCGCCGACTTTCGAATTTCCGTTTTTGTCAACGGTCTCGGACGGATTTTACCATAAATTACGCGCTTAAATATTTAAAAAAAAAACTCATAATATACGTTACCTATACATGGGTCCTCTGATGCGTCTATCGTGATATTTTTCGACTGCGAAACTCTGTGATCGCCAGCATTGCGCGTAAACACAACTGTTTTCGGCCGCACGCCAAACGGGTCTGGTTCGATTTTTTTACTAGGTCAGGGTGTCGACAATAGGACACACAGGGTAGTCGTATATAGTCGTAATAGTAGTAGTATACGCGTAGAGTTTTTTATTTTTTTTGTTTAGGTTTTTTTTATGCCGTGTGCGCGAGACCCAGAGGGGTCGAAAACTACCGTGTAGTGTGACCCCGGCGTGCACGCAGCGCGTGTATGTGTGTGTCCGTCTATATAGCGGTGTTCAGGGTTAGACCGGATAAACGCAACAAAAAAAAAAAAACAAAACAAAAAAAAATAAATACCGGACAACAACAAAAATAAAAAAAAAACTCCCATAGATAAACAACAGTTTAACGACACACGGAAAGCAGAGAAAAAAAAACCGTCGTCGTCGTAGAGGGAAAAAACCACAAACGATTAAACGGTTTTCTCTAAACCAAGTGTCGTAATGTTATTTCATCTAGTAATATAATTCTTCGGCGCGCGCTCCTAAAATATTGTAATCCTAATAGGCGCAAAGACAAAATGACGTCCTCGGTCCCCGCAGTACACGGAACCATAATATACGATAACATAGCAGGTAAAAAGAAAACAATTTCTCCTCGAAACGGACGAACGGATTTGGAGTTTTAATTATGGTTGTTCGTTTCGAGTCCAAAATGTAAAATATTATATTAAAACGAGCGTTCACGTCGAATTGGTGACTGCATAGACTACATTATATTTTTTTACAAACCACCCGGTTCATGTTATTAAACGAATTATGTACACCGCGACGAAACGAACCGAAACAACAAAGTTCTGTTTGGAGAAGAAAAAAATACCGTATAATATTAGTGGCACTTGCCGTTTCTGTTGTCTTTCTAACGGACGATAAGCCTGCGAAATGTGCGTTCGCGTAAAACGTACTGAAACACCCTTAGAATATTGGTTTTAATGGTAAAACAATTATTTTAAAATGTGTAGATGACAACGTTTCGAAGATGTTCCCGAACAGCTTTTTACGGGAATTATCCTCTAAACGTTCAACTCGTTATCAAATAGATACGATAAAAATCGTATTTTATAATTTGTTTTTTTTTTTTTTTTTTTGACCACCGTAACTTTTTTAAATAATAAATGCTTCAAAAAACGCCGGCGAATTTCGTCTCAACAAACATCTATGAATTTGTGTAACGCACGTCTCGTCTTTTAAACCGATTCGAATGGTATTTTAATTTTTTTTACGTAAACACGTTTTCGTTATACCGCCCGTTTGAAAGACAGAAGATCCGGCAAAATATTCTGTACGGTAAAGGTTTCTTAAAAACTCGTCGCTGAAATAAATTAGTCGTGCATACGGTAGTGTACCTACGCAACAAAAAATATATAAAAAAATAAACCATTTTCGATGAAATTTGATTCTACGTTATTCGCTATAAGATTTCAATTGAAAATGTGTTTAGAATAATGTTCGTGATTTTTACGAATTTCCTCTTCGAAATTTGAATTTTAAACAGAATAACAGAAAAGCGCACGTCGCGTTACACTCACACCGATAGGTTCCTCAAAGAATCCAAAACCTGTACTGAGGGGTTTTATTTATTTTAATGATTTTTCTTTTTTAATATTTGGATTTAGTTTCGTTTGAAGTGTTCGCGTAGCGTTCCCCGAATATCCGTTCAGGAACGGTTAATATCCGGACGTCCCAGCGGTACGATAAACGTCAAATCCGCCGGTATAATGAGTAATATTATATTATCAACGAGCACGGCGTATACACAATTATAATGACGCAATGTGTACGAATTCTAAGCACGGTGTATAGTATATAATATGCATGACTAGTGTGCGCGCCGCCACCGGGTTCTCGCCCGAGCCCCTCGGGCCGGGGTGGCGTAGTATTAACCCCTTTGTGCGCAGAGAGGAAGGGGTGCGGGAGGGACTAATGAAAAAAAATAAAAAATAAAAAAAAAAAAAAAACCGTAGAGGAAGCGGCTGGGTCCTTCGCCCGTCCGCCTGACCGGTGGGGTCGGCGCGCCCGTGTACATATTCCGAGGGCGATTTAAAAACATAAAAAAAAAAATATATACGCAAGTATACGGCCCGCACCCCTCGCGGGTACGTACGCGTGCCACGTGTTCCGGGCCGCGCAACCCCTCGCTGTAGCGACTGCCGACGGTCGGGTATCCGAGTTTTTTTTTTTTATATTTTACTCCCCGGTTTTTTTTCTCCCCGTTTTTTAACCGGGCAAGGGTTCCCAAAACGGCGCGAGCCGTTTATTATTATTATTATTATTAGTTTTTTTTATCAATATATTTATTTCGTATTTCCTTCCACACGATTATTATGATACGACGTATATAGTATATATTTGAAGTTTACTTGCGGACGCGACGCGAACAACGGGTGTCCTGTGAAACGGCTGACCAAATTTCGCGGACGTGTGGGCACTCTACGTATCGTAGATGTTAACGAAAACATCGAACATTACTGCAGGATCCAGTGCGACCTTATACAGTTACTGCAGCTTATTCCGGGGTCCTTGGGTCGTACGAGGTTATTTTCGGATTTTATTGAAAATGCTTTTTAGAAGAAAAAATGTCTTTAACGCCGCCACTGTAAGCATATAGGTGCACCTATATTATAGACCGACGAACGTGACACGCGTCCGCTACCCACACGACAGCGAATAACAGACAACCAATAGTACCGCAAATCGTCGAATAAAAATTGCATAAATATCGAAATACCTGTACACGGGTCACATAAATACCGCTGTATAATTGATAGTAGTTATCTCAATACCGCCGTTTCTATACCTGACGATTTTCGCGAATTCTCCGAGCTTCTCGCATACAGATATATACGAACAATTCGGTATATTAATTTTTACTATTATTTATTCAATTATTCGCGGATATTATCGATTTTTCAATATGGTCCACGTAATATTACTCTCGATCGCCTAAATTTATATTTCTGTACCGATGGCAGTTATTGTTATACCAATAGAGGTTCCCGTAATTTAATCGGTTGCCCGACCGAATAAAATACATTATTAGGTCTATATACACTTTTAGCGTTCCGGTTTTTTTTTTTTGGTTTTTACCGGAAATAAAAAGTCCATTTTAGTCCGTGTATAACGATGCGATCGCTTAACGAACCAGATTTAATCGAATTATTTTACGTTCATTCTGTATAGGTATATATTACCGATCAATATAACTGGACATTTCGTTGTTCACTTAACTATAACGTATATTGTCGTCGGGCGAATTGTAAACTTTAAAAATTAATGATCCCTGTGAGTTATACGACCGAGAAAAGAACTATATGCGTTTAACTGCATAAACGTCATTAAGTCCGATCCACTTATCATTAGCAAAAAAGGAGTTTATCCGCAGTCGTATAAATAAAAACTTAATAAACTAGATTACTGCTATATGGGATACGGTATTTTTGTCTAGAAAAAAAAAAAAAACAATTATATTACGTTAAATTTGTTTTACCGCTATATAGGTACAATTTATGATGAACTGCTGTTCAATTTTTGAGTATTTCTGCTCGATAAAAAAAATTTTATCCACATAAAACTCGTAAATTTCAAATTCTAGAAAAGATTGATACATAAGTATTCTGTAAAAATGTCAGTCTTTGACGATTATTTTCAACCGAATTACAAATAAAACAAAAAAGCAAAATTAAAAATAAAGAAATCCGATACTGCGTAAATGTTTCTGCTCGATGATCGGATCACGGTTTCTGGTATAAGATACATCTACAGGCAACAAACAAATTCAAAATCCGCGATGTTGATCTGTTTTAATAAAGATATCTTCCTAAATTCAACGAGGTTCAATCAAAATGATAATATATAAATTCTAAACTCAACGGTTTGATCAAATTGTATTGTGCTGTTCCGAAATTCAACTTTGTCAAATAAATTTCCATCGGATCCAGCGTTGAATTCCTTAAAAGTTGTTTGATTGAAAAATACCACCCCGTCATGCAATATTTTTATTATAATTTTAATAATATTAGAGATGAGAAGTTATAGGAATTTCATATTTTCGTCTGTCTTCTATTTATAAGCTAGACTAGTTAAAAATATGTTTCATAACCAAATAAGTAATCATATGTGTGCGATTTTTTTTTTTTATGCATATATTTTAAAAATTTTTTAAGAATGTGATATTTAATGATTTTTTTTGTTCATACAAACGCATGTTTAGTCAATTTTGTTTGCAAATGTTTGTATATTTAGTCAATTTATACTTATTTTTAATCAATGTTATCCCGAAAAACAATAATTAAACACAAAACCCGTAGTTTCAATAATATAACGTTCAAATCTAAAATATAAAACGTATATATATTTATATATGATTCGTTTATAATACGTATCATATTATTCGTTTAGAATAGTACTTAAATTGAAAATATATAATATAATTGAATAATAGTTTATTTAATTTTTTTTTTTTGTGCATATTTTGCCGAATTTTCCTCCAATAATTTCTCGTCCCCCATATAATAAAATAAACGTTAATTAAATCGAAACGTATAAATTACGGTTGTAAGTCTGTTGTTGTTTTTTTTTTTTTTAATCAAATTAATTATCGTGACCGCGATCGCCGAAAAACCCGGGAGTGCGGACAGGTACCCGTGTATTACAATTTTTAATTATATTTCGCCCGGCGCGAAACGCAAAACAAAATCGAAAAACCACCGCGACGGCGACCGAACAGACGCGAACGTTGCATAAATCATTATACGTGACGTCATATTTAAAATCGAATTAAAAATTTTCGGGAAAGAAAAAAGAAAAGAAATGCATGTACATAATTTTCCCTCGCAATCTCTGAAAGATGCAAAACCCTCGGGTAGAGGGGGGGGGGGCGCGCGCTTTCTCTTTTAGCCGCGTCGTCAAAGAAATAACATTAAAAAAATGTCGGCGGTACCGCACCGGTCGTTTAGGGTGTTTTGTCGTCTTTCGCGGCGGCGTGCGCGCGCTTGCGGGGGCGG